TGTATATATATATATATATATATACACACACACACCCCCGTGGTCAGTTTCAAAACACCTGATGTACATGATCCCAATTTGTATCTCTTCTTCTGTGTAGTCTTTGAGAAACAAGAAAGCCCACTCACCACTGAGGAGGAGGAGCAGCGTGCTATTGCAAAGATCAAGATGCTGGGCAACATCAAATTCATTGGGGAACTTGGAAAACTCAACCTCATCCACGAATCTATCCTTCATAAGTGCATCAAAACAGTAAGTCCACAAAAACATTTGTATGGTCGGTGGAAATCAACCCTATACGTCTAGTTTTTTGTTTGTTCACAGTCTGAGACCAAGTGTCTGAATTGTTGATAGAAAACTGGGATTAGGGTTGGGAATGACCTACAGCCCAATACAAATGCTGGGCTATCAGGTGTGCCTAGTGTCAGAATTATTAGCATATTGTATTAATTATTCTGTTTTATCTTACCTTAGCTGCTGGATAAAAAGAAGAGAGTCCAACTTAAGGATATGGGTGAAGATCTGGAATGCCTCTGTCAGATAATGAGAACAGTCGGACCTAAGCTGGATCATGAAAAGGCTAGGGTGAGTATCTAATAAAACAACGGAAAAATAGATTTGTTGAAAATATTTTTGTTTAATATGACAACGTATAAATTCTCCTTACAGTCTTTGATGGATCAGTATTTTGGCCGCATGCAATCCTTAACGACCAACAAGGAGCTGCCAGCTAGGATTCGTTTCCTGCTGCAGAACACAGTGGAGCTGCGAGCAAACAAATGGGCACCTCGCAAAGCTCAAGTGGACAGCGGACCAAAGACGATCAATCAAGTCCGTCAGGATGCAGTTAAGGTTAGTCACCCTGGTCTACTTTTGACATGGACTTTGTTAGGATGATTAATAATACTCATATCTCATTTGACTTTTTAATAAATAAGCCCATAGTTAATACTGAGAACTCTGAATGTTCATTGCAGGATTTAGGGGTTTTTATTCCACAACAAAGTGATGGAATGAGGAATGAATTCTTCATGGAGAACTCCTACCTGCCAACAAGGATCAAGTTTGACAGAGAAACCCTTGGTGGACTTGCTGATATGTTTGGACAGATGCCTGGTATGTTACAGCCCTCCAAATCCATGACAAAATGACTCCATGAAAGGCTTAAAGATGGACCCTTTCTAAAAATAGCTCAATGTTTGTGGTTTTGTTTTGAATAGGATCTGGCATAGGTACAGGTCCAGGAGTAATTCAAGACCACTACTCCCCTACCATGGGACGTCATCGCGCAAACCCACACTACAATGGTCACGTTGCGAACAGTAATGGTGCACACCAGCCACAGTTTGAAGCCGCCGGCAAGCAGTTCATCAAACCAAACCAGGTACTTGCATCCTTTACATCCAGTGATTTGTCAGTACTTCATAACTGATTTCAATGTTCCTAACTAAATCTATGAATTCTCTTTTCCATAGGGGCAAAATTCACCAGTTTTCAGTCATAAACAGAATCACTCAGTGCAGATGCAATCTAAAGATATGGCTCCACGCTTCAGCAAAAAAGGGAAAGTCAATTCCGATGAGGTACATCTGCTTAAAAAACATAATGATTTTGTGTGTTTCGAGTAGTTTGGGTTACAATTTCTTAGATCCTACTGTTTGATCATGTTATATAAAGACCTTAAAGGAATGTGGATTGCTGATAGTCATTTCTTAACTCTAGCAAAATGTTATGTCTTCTCTCCTCCAGATCAGTCTGAGACCAGCACAGTCCTTCATTTTGAGTAAGAAACAAGTGCCAAAGCTACAGCCGCAGATGACTTTGTTTCCTCCAAGTGCCCAAGGACAGGTAACACATCTGTTAAAAGACAAATGCACTGACACTGATTGGTTCTAAAATGTACATGTTTTAATCGGGCTGTCTTTGTTAGACTCCACAGCTTGGCCTGAAAATCAACCCTCCTCCTATTCAGGAAAAACCTGCCAAGTCAAGCAAAAAAGCTCCACCTACAAAGGAAGAGCTTCAAAAGATGACAGTGAGTTTCCGATAAGCACACTGCTCCCTTCATTCTAAATATATTGTGTGCCGACCATGCTTTAACTCACGGTCTCTTTCTTTTTAGGATACCATGATTGCAGATTACCTGAACAACAAGAACATTGAAGAGGCAGTCAATGCTGTGAGAGAGATGAGGGCACCAAAGCACTTCATATCTGAGATGCTGAACAAGATGGTGGTCTTTTCCCTTGATCGGTCAGATGAGGACAAGGAGCTTACGAGCAACCTGATCCACACACTCAGCACAGACGGTCTTGTCAATGGTGAAAACCTGATGCAGGTCAGTGAAGTACCCCCTAAAGATTTGAATCAGAATGCTACTCTTTATTGTGTAATGCTTTTATTTTAAGATCTAACCATCCTATTATTATTTTTAAAAGGCCTTTTTGAGTGTTCTGGACCTGTGCCCCAAGATTGAGGAAGAAGTCCCACTGGCCAAGTCCTACCTGGCACAGTTTGCAGCACGAGCGATCATTGCAGAGCTGATCAGCATTGCCGATTTGGCCCATCATCTGGAGAATGGCGCACACTTCCCGCTGTTCTTGCTCTGCCTGCAGCAGATGGTGAAACTGAAGGACCGCGATTGGCTGACTGATCTGTTCCAGCAGAGCAAGGTCAACATGCAGAAGATGCTCCCTGGTACGTCCAAACACTCTCTAACCAAACATTATTTCTGCACGTCAGCCTAAACAAACTGCTCACAGTAATGTCTTCACTCCTGTAGAAATTGACCAGAACAAGGACAGGATGCTGGAGATCCTGGAGGACAAAGGGCTCAGCTTCTTGTTCCCACTGATGAAACTGGAAAAGGAGTTGCTGAAGCAGATTAAAGTAGATCCTTCTCCACAGTCCATTTACAAGTGGATCAAAGACAACATCTCACCTAAACTGCACACCGACAAAGGCTTTGTCAACATACTTGTGACCAGGTAAATCACCTGAACATGATTTTTGAATCGTCTAATATCTAGCCCTACCACTCTTGCAGTATTTTCATTATGGTCTCCTCTGCCAGCTTCTTGCAGTACATCGCTTATGAGATCAACCCTGACGATGACGAAGAACAGCTTGCATCACCGAGTAAGGAGCAGCTGGATGAGGAGAAACAGCTGATGCTGTCTTTCAAGCCGGTGATGCAGAAGTTCCTACACGATCACATTGACCTGCAAGTCGGCGCGCTGTATGCCCTGCAGGTCCACTGCAATGGCAAGGCTTTTCCTAAAGGTATGCACCAACTTGTCTTTTACTGATGCAGCTTTGATTGGAGTATCCTCTGTGCAGAAGCTCAACAGTTGCTCTCCTTTTTCCAGGCATGTTACTGCGCTATTTTGTCAACTTATACGACATGGAAATAATTGAAGAAGAAGCCTTCCTTTCATGGAAAGAAGATGTCACCCAAGAGTATCCAGGGAAGGGAAAAGCATTATTTCAGGTATATTCACATCACTAATACATAAGTGTCTGACATTTAACCTAAAAGTCTATTTTAGATTCTCCCAGAGGGGAAATAGGTTCCTTCATAACTTTATATTGCACTCGATAACGTCAACAACTATCAGGTTTTTTGCAACTGTGTACTAGTATCAAATGCCTCAGAGTAACGCAGGTATTTTGTTTCATGGTACAGGTGAACCAATGGCTGACCTGGCTGGAGACGGCAGAAGAGGAGGAGTCAGACGGTGAAGATTACTGAGGAACGGGCCTAAGCCATGTGATATCAGGATGCAATGATTTATTTTTTACTCTGTAATTTTCTTTGTCTCCTTTTGCTTTCCCCAGTCCTTGAAAGAAAATTCCCTTCTTGTTGTTTATAACAAATTGAAACCACTGTTACAATTGATTCCACTCTGAACAGTTTAGCCAGCATCACCATCCTATCGTATTAATGCTTTACTTTCTAATTTTCATATATGATTCTCTAAAACTGGTGTTTTATTCATTTCGATCATCTTGGGTTATGTTTTCTTAAACAGTAGGCAGTATGGTGCAGGAACCTGTACCAGCACCTAAACCATCGTGTCACCTTTTACATCTGGTAGGAGTCACAAAGTGCTGCCATTAACTGAAACTGTTTACAAAAGAGAAGGAAAAAAAAAAAACACACATTGCAAAGAGCCTTGTCTCGTATTTTTATCTGCATTTGTTTATCAGCTATTAGATGCACTTTGCTCAACATCATGAGTCGTTGCAATAGTAAGACACACTTTTCTTGATTAGTTGGAACAATCCTAAGTTGCGGTTTTCTTGTGTTTAAAAGCAGACCTTGTTTGAATATTCATAACCTGGATTTGAAGATGTCTAACAATAATGGCCTGTTTTGATTTGCAGTGTGAATTCAGTTACCTGCATTTTGTTAAAAGAATCGAGAGCTTTTTTTATGTAGAAACTTTGTGCTGTTAGGAGTGTATCTGTGTGGCCTTTTTTTAATTTATCAATTCATATGGATATACCTCTAATGTATCTCGGACTATACTTGAATGTCTCGGTTAAAACTTTGAGACAGCCAAAGCTTAGTTTCCTGTGCTACAGTTATTCACCACCTCGTGTGGAGATTTTATGTCTGTTTACCATATTTGTCAAGTTTTTAAATGGTCTTTTTATTATCTTCATGAAATTATACAGAATGCACTGTATGTGTACACCTAAACCTTATCTCGGAGCGTCACGGTCATATTAAAGTGCAGAAAGTCCAGTGTACAACTACAGAGCAAACTTAAATAAAGTTTAACGGTTCATTTCATTGTCTTGTGCATTTCTTCCTCTGAATATATAATGTTAACTCTTTATTTAAAAGTCAGTAGTTTTAGACACATATAGGGGTAGATTACAAAGGCTGAATTTCTAAAAAGCTTCTAGTTTATGAAATGTTACCAACAGTACCCAGACCACATTATACACTTTGAGTTAATTTGCAAAAAAAAAAGATAAAAGCCATTCTGAAAAACAGTGCCCTGAAAGTTTTTATTAGCACTTTAAAATAGAGAAGGTTTTGTGATCCAAAATGTGTTCTGGTGCAAAAACCCAACTTCAGTCTGAGTAACATTACCTGAAATAAATGTTTTTTTTTGACATTTTTTAAAAACAATTTACTGCTTTGCAAATAAGCTCTTCACTTGGTCCTTGACCAAGGTCCTACTAAATTAGAAGTCAGTCAGATGGGCTTCAATAAAGACATCAGTTGAAAGCTACTCAGCTCCAAATATTTTGCATCCAGCATCTCTCTTAAATCAAACTTGTGATTAACATATTGGATAGAGACAAAGCACTTCTGTATCGAGCTGTGTGTCTCGTCCCCTCATTTCACAGACTACTATAAATATCCATATTTGTATTCACAGCAAGCCAAATAACTGATCGGTGAAATCAATTTCTTGTACTTTAAATCCATGATTCAGCTCAGAAGTAATCTTCACGTTATAGTTAATAAAAATGATATGCGTTTGAATTATTATACAGCACATTTTCCTCTTAAAACAGTTTCCTTTTTTGGAGCTTATTCTTCATCACATTTCAGGTTAAGTAAGGTCATAAGAATGAACAGACTCACACGTAGCAAACAGTATTTTTCATTTGCCTCATTGTTTGCTTAAAGAAAATACAATTCCTTGTTTCTTTTTTTATTTGACATGTTGAAGGATCTTACCATTTTTTGGGTCAGTGTCTTTTCTGATCATCAGAGATAAAAAATAAAAAAAACCCTAAAAAGATGAGTTCACATTTTATTCCACTTCAAACTACCTCATGTGTCTCTAACAAAACATAGCATCTGTGAAAAGACATCTCTGGTAAGACATGAGGAAAGGCTTTAACGCTGTGCCAGAGGACATACACCTTCTAGGCTAATTCCAAGAGCTCATACAGACAGAAATCCCTGCTTTTAATAGAAAACAACAAAAATGCAGATGTGAAGATTATCTTTGAATTGTACGGGTAAGAAGTCTGTGAGGGAGGGTTCAAGATTTAATCACTGTCATCATTGTTGGAGGCTTCAGGTTCAGAGCCGCTCTGAGGGCGTGGGGAGCCAGCATCAGATCCCCGCTCTGATCCTCGGTCAGAAGCTGCTGCAGGCGAACCTGGAGGGGACTCGTTGTCTGATCCTGACCGACCCCTTTTGCTCCCGTTGTCTGACTGCTCCGAGTCGGACTGCCGCTGCACCCTCCTCTTCCTCACTGGACGGTCGCTGCCAGAGTCGTCCCCCCCTGAGCCTGCAGAGCGCCGCGGGCTGCCTGCGTCACTGCCCGACTGGTTCCTTCCACCATCTGAGTCGCTGTCGGATGCAATGCGCTTCTTGTGGCCGCCCTCGTCATCAGATCCTGAACCACTGTCTCTCTGTTGTCTGTGTGGGAAAAGAGCATTTAGAAGGTGTCAGTTGATTTAAGGCTTGCAGCACTTTTTGATTGTATGAATCAATTCTCATTTAAATCATTTACCTGTCTTCAGCTATTTTCAGTCCATCCTCATCTGAAGAGGAGTCAGAGGAAGAGATGATGGCCTTCGACTTGATCTTTCCTTTGAGAGATGGTGGCAGACGCTCAGGCTGAGGCTAAAAAACAAGAAAGAGTTAGATTTATAGATATTAGGCCCTTAACATAGGATTCAAAATAAACCATCTTGTTTAAAAAAAAGAAGAACCTTTTCAAACTTCTTGCGCTCTTTGGGTTTGCGCTGCTTCTTGGGTCGAGATCCTCCTTCCTCGTCATCGCTGTCATCTCCTCCTCTAGCAGGCCTGAAATACAACATTTGCTTTGTATCTTCTGTGTCGTCTCCGATGTTAAAATAAACCACAGCGTGGCAGACTCACCTCCTCCTCTTCTTGCGAGACTTCTCCTCGCCTCCCTCCTCCTGCTCACTGCCACTGCCACCCTTCCTCTTCTTCTTCCTCCTGACTGGCAGGTCCTCGTCAGAGTCGTCGTTGACAAAGTCGTCCCCGTCGCCTCCTTTCTTACGCTGAGAGATTCAAAGAAAAAAGGATGTCATCGACACTCCGTTCCGAGATCTGAAGAGTCTGCCCATGAGTTTGATATCATTGCCAACACTCACACGTCCTCCTCCGCCTCCTTTTTTCTTCTCTTTGGCCAATTCCTTTGATCCCTCAGCGAAGGAGAGCAGGTTCTTGGTCTTCTCCACGAACAAAGCTCTCTGCTCCAGGAGCTTCTTTTGTTCCTCCACCTCTCTGCTCCTCTTTTCCTCCTGAGGGGGTTAAAGGGCGACATGTGGATCATTTCATGAGCATCAAAATCAGATGAAAATACGTGTTCCAATGAGTGTTCAACTTGTTGAGTGGTTGCACAGTACCTGTTCTTTCATCATCTGCTGACGCAATATATCCCTCTCTTGTTCTTGTTTGGCCCGGAGCTCCTTCTCCTCCTCATCCTGCTTTCTGGCTCTCGCCACATGGTACTGCGCCTGACTCAGCAGGTCAGAGCACTGCCTGTAATCCCACAACACACACACTTACCCTCAGTGATACAACAGCCTACAGCTACATGACCTGCAGCTAAACTTGCCTTGCATGTCACACACTTATCAGAATAATATAAACCAAAGCACTGAAAAACTATCAGTATCTGCTGACATTATCTATATTGAAAATCTCTTTAAGTGCTGACTGTAAAAGTGTCAATTTTCAGTCAAAGTAAGGATATATTATATACAGTACATTATTCAGTGTACCCAAATATGCCAATATGCCAATATTGGATAGCTCATCACACTGGCCCTCAAGCAGCTGACGCCATTAAAATTCATGCTTTTGAAGAAAATAGGAAACTACTACTCCTACAACCTAACTTGCATGTAATATAGGCATGTGAATTCCACATGTTTATATTATGTATGCTTAATAGGGAAACCGTTTTTTTTAAAACGTTGTATATAGGGGACAATTCGGGTGATAAATCTGATATGAGCTTCATTCAAAACACACAAGTGCAACAGTTTAACACAAGTCCAACAACCAAAAATATATTCGCGTTGAAAATACATTCAGACTGACCTGGCCTCAGAAGCCGCAAGAGCAAGGTCAAACCTCATCTTGTCCCCGGCCTTGCTGAGGTAGCTGAAGTACCTGTGTGAGCAGATGAAGGAGGAGGGGGAGAGATAGAGTTGATTTGTGTCTGATTAGTGATTGTGTTGATTAGTCACAGGACAACAAGAAAAGCCCAGCGAGGATGACGAGGTGTCAACCAAATAGCTCTACCTGTGAGCCAGCTCAAGCTCTTTGACGGCACTGAGCACAGCCTTCAGGTTGCTCTTCTCATCTTTCAGCACAAGAGTGGCCAGTCTCTGAAGCACCAGAGCCACGTTGAACATCAGCACTGTGTCACTGGGGGCTACGTGGCGGGCCTTGTGTGAATAAAAAACAAAGACGAAGTTATACTCCCTGTCATTAAAAACACAAAGAAAGCGCTTGATTTTTTTTTTTTTTTCTTACCTTTAGCAGCATTTGCTTGCACTCTTGGAGTTTCCCACATTTGAAGAGCGCCCTCGCAAGGTACAGCAGCACCTCTGTGTTCTGATATTTGTAAAATTTCTTCAGGCAGTTCTCATACTGTGGAGCACAAGAGAATACTCAATGGTACAAAAATACATGGAAAAAGAAAAAAGGTTCGTTATGGATAATCCAATGTGCGGCCCTTACCATCTGCACAGCGCTGATGTACTGCTTCTGCTCCACGTAGATGTGAGCCAGATTCAACCAGACATCACTGATGTCTGCTGTGGCCTCCCTCACCTGTGCGAACACATCTCGAGCCTCTCTGTAGAAACCCTTGTGGGCCAGGACGGCACCTTAACGCAACACGTTGATAAATAACAAATTATACATTATACAAAACGTATAAAGCAATTTGAACAAAAACTTTTTATTTAAGCTTAACTGACCGATGCCATTTGCAGCATAGAGGTTCTTGGAGTCATTTCGCAGCACTTGTTTGTAAATTGCCAGGGCTCGGTCCTGGTGTCTCTTTTCCTGTCACAACAAAACACCCACACTCCATTTCCGGGTCTTTTTTCCCCCTTCACACTCATTCAAGAAACTGGCTTGTTAAAATAATCCTAATATATGATGAATTTATGACTTATTAGTCCTACTTCATTAAAAAATATTCAAGAACTACACAGTTATGTTTAACAAAATAATGTAAGTGTCTACCAAAGGTTTAATCTCAAGACTCACAGTTTGATCTAAACTACAGTCAAAGCTTCCCTTTTAAGTCAACCTTTACCACTTAGACAGTTTGTATCGATACAGTCTGAGTCTACGTGGATTTATAAGTTGGCTGCTAGTGTTAATCATTTCTTTCTGTCAGCTTATTACAAGATAAAAAAAAACTGTCTGTACCTTTTCTCTATCTCTGGTTGGCTGGTGCAGAGTCTGCAGCCACACGTTGCCCAGAGCCAGCATGGAGTACGTGTCGTTCTGTGTGGACGGCTGCTTCAGAATACGCTCAAACTTCTTCTGACCCGGACCCCATTCCTGTTTGGCCAAGTGGAGGTTCCCTATCAGGGACCAGGCATCTGGGTGATCCTGCATTCAACAGAAACAAAAAACATCAGGGGAGTTTGACTCGCAGTTTTGTTGAATTCTGAATGTTTGATTAAGGCCCCTGTGTCCACCTGGCGTTTTTTTCCGGGCAGAAAAGCGCTGTCTGTGCGCTCTGGAGTGTTTGAATGAAGCCTTTGTGCTCTGAGAAGAAAACAGCTGAGCGTCTGTCCTGTCTTTTTGACAACAGTTTGTTGACAACGGCCACTGTATGACCGACACAGCTCCGTTACTTTTTACTGCATGTTTGATATTTGAGATCATTTTTTACCCGATCAGACAGGAAGCAAAGAGGACATGGGTACAAGGTACGATCCGTAGGAGGCTTAAATACAGGGAATATCTTACATTTGGAAAAGAGCGCCTGTGACATCAACAGCGCCTTTCTGAAAAGTTGAAAAGATTTTCAACTTGAGCGCTCGGAGCGGCCGCACAAAAACAGCAGATCGCTTGTTAAAGAGACGCTGGTCGCTGCGCTTGTTATCCATGGGCCGCTTTCTGCTGCAAACGCTCTCAAGTGAAAAAAGATGCTGGAGCTGAGGGAAGAACGCTAGGTGGACACGGGGCCTAAGGCGGTACAATAAAACAACAAAAGTACCTGGTTGATCTGCAGAGCCTCTTTGAACCAATCAGAAGCTTCATAGAAGTTTCCTTTGTCACGAGCCATCGCTCCGAGACGCAGATAACCTGCAGAAATAAGTCAAGACATTGAAGTCAAGAGAACAAAATAAGAAATTCTCTCTGCTTGATTCATCATACTTACAGTCCACATAGTTAGGATGCTCCCTCAGGATGTTTTTGTAGAGTTTCTCAGCTTCGTGGAATTCGCACATCGCCTCGTACAGACGGGCCAGATTGTAGGAGGTGGTGACAGAAATGGCGTTGTAGTAATGCTCGTCATGTTCTCCTTCAGCCTTGGCTCGCTCCAGAGACGCAAGAAAGTATTTCTGGGAAAGAGAGGATGTGACCCTCATCATTCAAACAGAGCTGTTACGGTATTTAATATGTTTAATTTCTGAGTTTATTCACAGTTACCTTTGCCTCTCCGAGGTTGCCCAGTCTGAAGTGAAGAGCCCCCAGGTTGTTAAGGATCTCAGGGGGAACGTCAGCCTGCACCTTCTCTTGCAGGATACGGGTGGCTGTGCCGTACGCTGACAGCGCACCTTGAATGTCAGTCTGCTCCAGGATCTGAGCCAGCTCTATCCACGCCTCCACATCATCTGGGTACTGCTCTGTCACCTTCTTCAAATGACCCTAAGACACAGAAAGTGTATGCCTCCTTATATGACCGTTCAACCCATCACTACTGACTAGACATTTTAGGTTTGCAATAGTCGTGGGAACAGCAAACATCTTAATGAAAAGCTGTGTGATTGCAACTTGACAAAATGGTCCGTATCAGGACACGTACTTTGGCGATGTCTCTCTTCTCCTGATCGTCAGATGTTGCGTACAGAGACCCCAGAATTTTCATAGTCTCGTAGTTGTTGGGATAGGCCTTTAAAACCTTTTCGAAGCACTGTGCCGCGTTCTCCTTGTCTCTTCGATACACATACATCTGACCGAGGCCAAAGAAGGGCAACACAAAGGTAGACGAGGCGAACTGAGTGGCCTGGTAGTAATACTGAAACGCTTGGTCGTAGTCCTCCTGCAAAGTAAACGAGAACACAGATGTAAGCGGTGTGAAGTAATCGAGGAGGAAACTATAAGTGCACTGCCTCTAGATCAGGTAGCGTCTTACCTGCACATGAAATGAGCGAGCTAGCTGGTAGCAGCTCTCGGCCTGCATGGCTTCAACCTCTGTGTTATGGAAAGCGTGGAGGGCCAGATGCTGCACTTTACTGTAATCCTTAAAAAGAGAACTCAAAGGTGTGAATTTAACTCTCATGGCACTCTAGTTTATAGCCGTGTCAGTATTTGACAACCAGACTACCTTTTTGAAGAAGAAGTGGTTGGCCAGGTGGTTGAGCACCATGGGATTGCTGGGGTCGATGGTGTAGGCCCGTGACAGGAGCTGCACTCCTTTCTTGATGGAATCCGCTTCCTTGCTGTTGAGCTCTAAAACCGCCAGACCGACAAGAGCTCCTACACACTTGGAATTGAGCTCCAGGGCTCGATCAAAAGCCAAACGAGCCTTCTCCAGTTTGCTGAGCTTCACGAAACAGTGGCCCATCCCCAACCTCACCTCGGCTACAGAAAACAACATAGAAGTGATAGAGAATGAAGATAAGGATTAACCTCTAGCAATCTCTGCATGTAAGAAAAACAATAACAGAAGCAGGAGTCAGAGCCAACACTATAATTACTTGTGGCAGATATTTGGGTGTCAGCATCAATGTTGGCAATTATGAAGAGAGAAATGATAAGAATCCATCATCCAAAATGATCAGCAGTAATTTTGATCATTTATACCATTTATTTAGGAAGAATTTACAGTTCAACTCTGCATGCTGTTTGTCATACAGTATTTGAGGATTTGCTACTCTTCTCCTCATCGCTACTCTAAGATTATTATCTCTGGCTCTTTAAACAGCTGACGTTGTGCTCTTGTTAGAAGTGTCCGGCTTTTTTCTTTTTTCTTTTGATAACAAAACAATTGATGATTATCAAAGAACAATTAATGAATGGATACATTTTTGGATGGATAAAGTTTTTTTAAACCATATTGTATTTGTTAGCGTTACATTAGCTATTTACAGATGTATCATAGCCAGGTCTTTAATACCTGGATGTTGATAACTTGTTTGGACCACATCAAGTAGCATCAGTAAATAGTCGTCAAAGTAGTAATTGGCTATACGGGGTTCTGATTGGAGGATAATACAGGTGATGTGTTTACCTGGGCAGCCAGGGTTTGTACGTAGAGCCTTTTTGTAGTATGCCAGAGCTCCTCTGTAGTCCTTCTTATTGAAGGAGATGCAGGCTTTACCTGTTGAATAAGAAAGTGTCATTAGTTCAGTGACTCATTCAGAGTGGTCAATGTGAGATCTTGATTTTATAATCATCTTGCCTAGTAAAGCAGGGATGTTGTTGGTGGACTGGTTGAGGACAAAGTGGAACTGGCGTCAGCCTGGTCCATCTTGTCTCCTTCCAGCAGGCAGAAACAGGCTCTTCCCAACAGATGGTTCTGAGTAAGCAGAGTGCATTAAAAGGTTATACTAACTGGGGTCATTTATGGTGCCACATCAGTTTCCTCACTTTGTCAGAGTTTTTTTTTTTTACCTGATCATACATGATGATCTTGTCTGCCATCGTATAGAGCAGCGTAGCTTGCGTGATGAGCTCTTTCTTGGCATCTTTGTTTTTCTCCTTACGTGCTTGCTGGACATAGTAAGCTGCCAATGTGTCCAGACAGGTCATCTGATCCTTCTCATGGTCTCTGTAGTCCAGGTTTCCATCGATACGAGCTGCCTCTAAAAGCTTGACAAAATCTTCTGTTTTGCCCTGCTTGTAGTACTCCAGCTGGAAAAGACAAGAGTGTAAAACACGACGTTTAATCTCTTGAGTGTGATTAATAACTCATCAAGATAACATAACAGTAATGTATGTGACTCCTGCCTATTGTAGCTCAACTGACTCACCGCTAAAGCGATCCATATGTGAAGCTGTGTATGTTCCTGCTTCAGGATGCTGATGACTTCGTCTCCTTCTGGCAGCTGGTCAAAGTCAAGCTCAATAACCTGCAAGAATCAATTCATTCAAGTCATCAATTAGCATCAACTCGAGACAACACTCATCCTCCCTTCATCTCGTCAGTGTCATAGAGATGCAAAAAAAGTTAAAACAGAAACTTTTCTTTCTTAAAAACTACAGATATGATAAGGTTTGGAGTGCGATTTAAACAAAAACAGCAAATAATTATTTAATCTGAACTGCTTAATTGAAAGTGACAGTAAACATCACAGTAAACATCATGTACCATGTGTGACACTTTACACTGTTTACATTACTCTATATTTTATATTTTGTACATTCAAATAATTATTTTTTAAATTTTACATGACAGTCTATTTCTTACTGTACATATGTGTATCAGTAATTTGAGTGTTTATTGCATGGCCTTGCAGAAACAGTCTTTACATTTCACTGCACATCTGTATGAGCGTGTGACAAATACAAATGTTGAATCTTTGAATTAATTACTTCTATTGTAACTAGTAAATTACTAATCCTATTGTTTTTATAGTGTTTTTTAAATTAATTTTATCCTTCTAAATGATTGAATTGTCTTCTAACTTGATTTAATCTCTTTCTTTCGACTTGTAAAGTAATGTGTGCTTCATGTTTTAATGTAAATAATGTGTTGTATAAATTAAGCCACTCCACTGCTGACTCTTAGTTCTGACTTTCTCTGCACAGTTATAATGTTTGCTATAAACAGCAGATCTACGTGTGCTGCTCCGACAACGACTTGCATTGAAGCCTTGGAGTTATCGTGTATTATTAAGATGTTACTTTACATCAGGTGTTCCGCTGTGTTGTGTTGAACATTAGCTGAAGCTAACCAGAGTTAGCATACGCGACAAGTAGCACAGCGAGCTTCACTCAGCTACTAAACATCAATTTAATCAAGACTTTTACCTCATCTGTGTCCCGTAAAGGGATCTCAATAGAGCCCCGAGACATCTCGAGGGACGGAAAAAAATTCCACTTGAAGTTAAATCTTTAAAAAAAAATTCAAAATCTCTTCCCGTTGTCTTGTGGTCGCTACTACATGCGTCCGATAGGAAACAAACACACACACACACACACACACACACTGTGTTACTCAAAATGTGTCCGACTGGATTTAGAAAACAATAAAGCGTTCCTGGTGGAGTTGATGTCACGGTGCTCTCTGATTAAAGCACGGTGATACTCATTTAGCCTTCAAGAGTATGGCATTACAATTGAAACTGAAAATATAAGAGAAAAATAGAGAAGATCACAAGTTTCAGTAGCCAAAGTCGTATTTTTTTATCGATTGACATATTTTACAACACTGACCTGCAAGAAAAACTTTGAACAGTATGCTACATTTGCTTAAGATTGAAATTGTGCACGAAATGTTTGTCAGACTGGGAATTTGAAGTGGAAAAAGGTTCCTTTTGATTGAAAACCTTTAAGGGAATCAAAGTGTCATCTCTGCAGGGCAGCATTTTGGCAGCAATGGGATGAGATGGGTGGAAAAGGAGGGGTGTGGGGGGGGGGGGTACTTGGGGATGTCATCTGGTTTTGATGTGAAGCAGTGAAAACAAGCATAAGGACTTTTTAAAGACTTCTTGTGCAACCATCACAGTGAATCAAGAGGAAAACCAGAAGACCAATCATAAATATGAAGTATCTAATTCAACATTTGCCTTGTTTTTCTTTCAGAGGAACTGACCGAGCCTGAGACGTAAGATTTCCTTTATATTACTATTTTCTCTTTTTTAAATTACATTTGATTGGTAAAAAGTCTCACCGACCACCAGAGTGGTGTTGTTTAAAAGCACACTAGGCCTATTTAATTGAGCACTGTTTTAAGTTCATATTTGTGCTTACTAAATCAAATATTTCAGGAGATAAGGTTTGAACAATAATTTGTTAAGCAATCTTTTTCGGCAGAGAAGTGTATACATTTGTTTTTTTTACTTCACATATTTGATAATAATTGACTTTAATTGTTTTCTGTTTGTTTTATTTGATTTTAAGTCTATGAACATAATTCACAGACGGTAAAGATGTTTGTGATGTTTATTCAAATATCAGGTCATGTAGGAACATTACAGTCAGGAGGATTCAGGAGAAACAAGCGTAATGTCTGACAGCAATGATGGTAAGTGATGCAGTTATTTTGTTCTCTTCTCTAAGTATCAAGCCAGTAATAGAATTACCGATAGCAGAACAAGTAAAAGTCTGTTTTATATTTACTCCCTGTACATGATTGTATATTATCCGTACCCGTCTAGTGTGGGACTCTCCTGGATCTGGGACGATGGAGGTTCTTGAAGATAATAAAGACTCAAGCGGATTCTCTGAACATGAACTCCTTGACATCATGTATAATACATGTAACACCTCCAACACAGGTACACAGGCTTGTGTTGAGTTCAACAAAATGGATATAAAATACTCAAAAGAACTTAGAATCAATATTCCTGTGTTTCTCTCCTCTTGTCTGTAGGAGAGGTGTTGGCCTCCACCATCGTACAGTACCTGCAGACCATGACGCATCAGAGTCCGGAGCAGGACAGACTGGCTGCCCTGCGACGGCTGCTTGACCCAGATTGTCTGGACCCACATGTGAGCAGAGAGAAGTTTCATGTCAGCATGAGGGAGTGGATCGCACAGTGCAGTCAGGACAGGTGAGACCAAACCAGCATCACTCTGTATGTCATGTCTTATTCAGAAGGACAGCTTTACTTCACTACATTTAATTAGGAGTTTTAGATACTAATGACCTTCAAATTCATCACAGGTTTTGAATCAATTTAATAATCCAACCATATATGAAGTTATGAATATTAGCTCCACCCAGACAACATTTCAATTGTCTACATTTCAAAGCATCATTAAATATCCTGAAATGACATAAGCAATAGAAGAAGCTCAACAGTGCAATTCTTATATCATAAGTACGTTCACTTTTCATACTTCAAGTACATTTGTTATTCATAGTTATACGTATTCACTTAAATGAAATTTTAAAATGGTGAACTTTAACTTGTAATGTAGTACTTTCTGTAGTAGTACAATACAATCTTTAAGAAACTGCTGTTTTTTAAGAGTGAATTTTCATTTCCTTTAAAGCATTATATTTGTGCTGGGCGAACCTGAAGAAGCTACAGGTGAAACGTGTTGTTCGCGCACAATAAAAATATAGTGAAGTTATTTTCAGTGTGCCACTGACTTCTGTTTTTTCATTATATTTTATGTTTATAATTTTTTCTAAGATTTATTTTTGGGCTTTTGTGCCTTTAATGGAGAGATAGGACAGTGGATAGAGTCGGAAATCAGGGAGAGAGAGTGGGGAACGACATGCAGGAAAGAGGCCACGGGTGGGATGTGAGCCACCTTACATGTCAGCCACCCGCTTGAGACGACAGCCTCCATACATGGGGCGCGCACACTAACCACTGCGCCGCCAGCGCCCCTTTTATGTTCATAATTAAAGTAGTATATAACAAGTTGTGTACATGTTGGTGTATAGTTTGTGGTTGTTTTCTGTGAGCTGTGAGAACGAATGCCTCCTCCTGTGTTTCAGTTCTGATGTGGATAGCAGTCAAGTATCATGGCCAAACTCATCTAAAGTTCTTGTAAACGGTATGCGATCACTGCTTTGTTCAGACTTTTGAGAAATTGTTCAAATCACTTTCAAACAACAACTCATAATACCTGATTTCCTTTTAGAGCTGGATTTTTCTGTCTATGAAACCAAAGCTGCTTCCTCTGATAGCCTTCAGTGTTCCTGGTCTGTTTTTTTTTTCTTCTTTTTTAAAAACCTTTTAACACTGAATTTGTTTACCTCCTTTATCAACATTTTTTTTTGTACTTAACCGCTTAACTGTTTGTTTGGCTTCAGTGACGGAAAAGATTTATTAGGCACGGTGGCTGAGCTGAAGCACGCTCACCGCAAGCTGAGCGAGCAGAACAGCAGCCTGTTGAGGACGGTGGCTCAGTGTGAAGACATCAACCTGCAGCTCAATCTGGAGATCACAGAGCTGAGAGCCAAGCTGGTCAGGTGAAGGAGACATTTAACACAAAATATGAAATGTATTCTGGAAGACATTAAACACTGTTAATAATGAACAAAAGTCAGGTGTTTACTGTTCAGCTGAAAACAGATTTCATTAGTAGTCCCTTTGCCTGTGGTTGTTTGGTATCCTATAGAATAAGTAATAATACATCATGTACAATAATTCATAATATTCCTTTTTGGTAAACAGCATAAACAACACAATCACACAGAAGTAATTAAACAAACATTATCATTAGGTGAGCTGTGGTCCAGAATTAAGCCAGACATGAAACTGATCAGTCAGAACTGCTCCTCTATATATGAAAAAATGTCTACTCTTTTTTAGCAAATGATAACAATAATGTCCTGTTGCTTCTAATTTCCTGGTCGCTTATCTTTGGTGATTTTAGTGCTCAGCGGTCAGCGGCAAGAGCCAGATCCTTGTCAGAAGAGCTTGAGGAGACCCGTCGGGCATATAAAGAGGCTCAGGAGAGAGCCAGCCGCACCCAAACCAGCTGCACCAAACTGGTACATTAGACACCCGTTGCAAATGAATTCCTTTTTGTTATGGCAACTATTTATTTTTTAACCCTTTATTTATCTTTAGAGCAATGAGGTTGAGTGCCTGAAGGTTCACATTCGCAGGCTTGAAGACAAGGTATTGTAGATCTTTAATGTTCACCCAGTTTCTATCCCAAAAAAAAAAGTTGTTTTTTAAATAAAAAATAATTTGCCCTCACAGAATGACAAACTCACCTTTGAGAGAACTTGTTCTGAAGATAGCATCAATAAACTGAGGAAGGTCAACGCTGACTTGAGGGTAGGTACCGATCAGAGAAACACTCTTAGGATTGTGTTTTTTTTTTTTACTTGAACTGAGAAATAAATATCATAATGTTACAGGCCGAACTTGAGGAAACCCTGGTTATGTTGACGCTGGGGGACAGAGAAATCACAAAGGTTTGTCTTGGTCTTTATTTTCATTCGATAATTTTTTTTTTTTTTTAAATGGGTTCAAATTTTTATATTTTAATTTTGCCTATATATGTGCCCGTGTAGAAAGAGATTCTTATGGATAAGATGAAAAACTCTCATGTGGAGAATCACAACATGATCGAGGTACGTTGGACATCAAGCAGAGACACTTTGACTGTACAGGAGGCTTTGTGAGATGGATTAGGAAATTATTTGACATCCCTTAGTATAAAGTAGTTGTGTAGATACAGTCCAATATTTTTCAATATAAACATAAACCAGTTTCTAATGTGAAGTAATAAACTGATTGACATGTTTTGTACAACAATTAGAAAAACGCATCAGTCCCTTTATAACAGCCTCGTCTTGGACTATGTAAAGTCCCCCATTGTGTTCAGTGGTTCTGAATGTACATGTAAGCTGTTATTTCACTAATTGACTCTGCTCTGGTGTTGCAGGGTCTGCAGTCAGAGCTGAGGAGGTTACAGGAACATTCACACCAAGTTCTTTTGAGGTCATTTGAATAAAGATAGAGAAATATTTGCAAGTTCATATGTGCTTTACTGAAATGTGTAGGAATTGTAAAGTGCTGAGCTCAGTTTGCGTTGTCTGTACTCTGTAGGTATGACAGACACTTTATTGGCCCTCAGAATCTCTACAGTCGAGATCCTCCTAACCACCGCTCTCTACAGAATGAGATGCAGGATATGCAGCAGGTTGGAAATGCTCCCTCTCAAAATATATATTGGCTTCTGTTTTAAATTGACTCTGACCACTCTGTCATCTCTGTCTACCTATCTGTAGAGGCATCACAGAGCTCTGGACGACATAAACCTCCCATCCCTGCACAGTGATGATATTCAGAGCATCATCCACCGGATCAAGTCTGCAGAAATAGCTCATCTTATGCACAATAAGTATCCAGATAGGGTGAGGAGATAGTAGAGAGTGGATGACAACTATGGCATGCAATAACATGTTTGTGTGTAAATCTGTCTCGTGTCTTCTCTCACACTCAGGACTCTGCTCCTGTTGAATCACAGGAGAGGCCTTTTCCTCACCGCCAGCAGCAACAGGCAAGCATCAAGCAGCAGCTTGTCAATGTGTATGTGTTTTTTTTTTTTACCTCCCTTTCTCCTCTTATGGTAATGGATTGGATTGTTTGATGTTAGGCTCTGTTCAGAGGAGCTTCCTCTGGCCAGTAAAAGGGATGTCTGGTGGTGACATGAATTTATGGGCCTCACCATGACGTAACCTAAAGCAGTAACAATCTTCTGTGTTAAACCCTATCAGGGCTAAGTGCAGTTTTAGTGCCCCCTCAGTAACAACAGACATAACAGTGTGTAAAAGAAATGTTTATAAAGCTTTGGTGGTGGTTTCAGGCTGCAGGAGCTGGAGCTACACAATTGTGTGTGGGAGGAGAGAGGGGAGAAGGTGGAGGAGCGGCAGAAGAGCTGGGAGCAAAAGGAGCAAAAGCAAAGCCAGAGTCAGACTCAGAGTCAAGAGGCCAAGAAAGTGGCTGTGGTGAACTGGTGGAAAGCACGCAGCCTAAAGGGGGCTAAGACCCGGACAATTGAAATCCAGCCAGTCCAGGATCTCTCCGAAACACAAGCCAAGCTTCAGAAGGCAGAGCAGACTATCACTGATATGAGGGAGCAGGTCCTCCACCTGCAAACCTCTCTACGATCTGCTCAGGAGTGTGTTGCTGAAAAAGTTGCAATCAGAGATCTTTATTTTGAAAAGGCAACCAACACTGAGAAAGAAGAACCAGAAGTTGCTGTGGTGGAGAAGGTTGTGAAGGATCAGAGGGATGCAGCAGTGGCCACAGACATTTCATGTGGAGCAGTCTCTGAGCAAGAGCAGACCCAGCCACGGGTGAGCGCAGACAGCCTTCTGGTGACCCTCCGGAGAATGGAGGCGATGGTGAACAGCGCCCTGGAGACGGCCGAGCTAGTGAGAGAGAGCGAGCAGAGGGTGAGCCAGGTGAGGCTGAGGATGGAGAGCATCACCCAGAGGGTGGAGGAGGCTCTAGGACGAGCAGCTGATACTGACCAGCAGCTCAACTTTATGGAGGCCAGGATCACAGAAAACACACCAACTGAGGTTTGTGTTACAGGAGAGTCAAAGCTGTAGGTGCAAAATACTGGAGGTTGCTCTACTGGTCAACTTAAATACATGTAATGTTAAAAAATAATCAGGAAAAAGGCAAACTATATAAATCAAACTTGCATGGGTTTCCAAAAAATGTCCAGTCACTAGATTTGAACAAGAACATTAAGAAAGTAAGATTTCATCTTATTATGTAATCCAGATAATCTAAACTGCTTCATGGAGAGAATATTATATAAATAAATCATTTTGCATAATGTTCAGTACAAAACTATGGGGATAAAGTGAAAAAGGAATGAATCAGATTGGTATCAAAGGTTTTTAGTATGGCTGTTTCTATTCGCAATTAATCACTACATTTCAGTAGTTAATCGCAATACATCATATATTAAATCATATATTAATCAAATGTTTGAAATTCCATTATTTTGCATTCAAAATACAAATCTTTTTTACTGTCAGCAAGTTCTTTTTTTTAATTCAACCCAGCCACTATTTTGAAATAAAGATTAAGTTTGGACCTTCTGGTAGATGGAAGGATACGCCATTAACCTTACCACAAACAGCTCTCAAGGAACGGTGAAAAAGGGAAATGTTTGATGTCATAAGGTGGATATTACTTTTGACTGTCTAGAAGTTGTCGTTTTTTTTAAGTGAAATGAGACATTCAAAGGTGCAGCAGTGTTTTTCTTTTCAAACTGTGACTACATGGAGACACTATGGAGGCTTATTCACAGTGCGCCAAAGGGACAAAATAGTAATTATAATTAATTAATCACAATGAACTACTCAATGCTGACAGCCCTGATTTTAGTTAACGTTATGAACTAATTTGCACTCTGCATAAACCGATTACATAAACCGAAGTTACATTTTATTTTTACAACATCTGCAGGAAGAAGCTTGACGTGTACGGTAGAGGTTTCCAATTGAGCCATTAATACAATTCAATTTCTTCTTGACTTTTGTTTATTAATATGTACATTTTTATTTAGCAACATAATAATGAGAAAAGACAGACCTTACACAAACCTTACATCGAAAGTATAAAAAGAGAAAAAAAAGTAATTTAATCAAAACACAGGCAAAGAGAAGACAAGACAGCTTGACATAACATTAAACTAAATCATGTTTGGGTAGGACCAACACAGTCCAAGAGAGTGCACATAATCCCATCAGTTTAAGAGTTACTTTATAATGGGACACAGATGATGGCTAAAAGGCTTCTTGTTATTTCTTATTTCTTATTATAATTATTGTTAACCAAATCTCTGATGGATTCCCATTGTCATCACTTTGCAACATTTCTGACACAGTAACATTACCCAGCAGTCAGAAAATGGGCCCCAAATCTTTTCAAAGGTTTCACCTTCTCCTTTTCAGAATATAAATTAACCTCTCAATAGCATAAGCATTACTCGTTTCTCTCAACAGCCAGCATCTGTGGCCCACTAGAGTTTTTTCATTTCACTCTTTATCGTTTTTTACACCCTGATCAAATACAATTTTAGTATTTAAATATTTTTAGATAAGATAACTAATTTATCAGAAAAGGAAACAAGGTGTACTGCAGATTTTAGATCTTCTCATTTCCTGTGCTGGTGATTATTTGATGATCCGGTAGAGGCAAATGATGACCCCTTGTGGTGATTGCAAAGATCGAATATCTACATTGAGCCATAACACAGTAGAGCAGTCATCTGTGTGTTATACCATATGATAACTATAACAAATAAAGATAATAAATATTTCTTCCCTAACCCCTTTATTTATTTAAAATTATTCTTACACATTTGGGCAGTGTTATCTAGAGAAAGTTCATAGCTTTTTGAGGTTGTTTTTTTTGTTCACATGAAAGGACTTAACCAACATTAACTCAAGTTTTATAATAGGAGTTAAAATAAAATAATGGGGATTACACATTTAGACACAAAAAGTTAATCAGTTGTCTTTATTGACTTCTCACGTGAAAGTCTCCAGGCCCCGCTCTGCAGGCTGATGCTGGAACAGACACAGCAGGCTTTATGGATGAGTCCCATGTGGAGCCTGAAGACGGACACCAAACCCTGAGTCCTCCTCCATCTCCTCTTCCCCCAGAAGTCAGCAGCGAGCCCCCACAGCTTCCCATGAATGGTATGATGGCTACAGCCTCTGTGTTATCATGTTTATGGGGTACACGTGAGACGCAGATAAATGAAAGCTGCTTCCTTCTCTGCTGGTAATCCCAGAGGATCTCTGAAAATAGACACAGAAGATGTTTACATTGAAACAACAGCCGGTTCAGTGAGGAGGAAGGCAGAATCCGCTCTGAGGGAGTGCATGTTAACTATGAAAGGGGCTGTGGGGGAAATAAGGGGAGGTCAAAATGATTAATTTTATATAAACACAAAAGAGGGTGAAGTATTTTTAGCTACATGTAAAATCAACATGTTTTGGATCGGGGCTTAAATCATCGTTTAAGTGAGAACCAGTCTCAATACCATATTTAGAACATTTTACATTATGCGTGGAAGCTGTGCTGCTCACAGAAGCCACAATGCAGTTCTTTGGGTGCTTTACTGCTGGAGTTTACTGTGACAAAAGAGGAACTCTACAGACTAGTGTGAAAGGAATAGACTTTTTATTTTAAAGAAATGAAAGCTTGAGGCAAATCTATTTTTTACAGCAATGGAGAAGTCGTTCAACATTATGAGAAATGCATTTCTGATTTGTTTATGAGAGTTGGAGAAGGTGATTAATATCACTCTTTTGTCTCTATAGTAAAATAAGCTAACAGCTAGCTTAGCTTAGCTTAGTAGAAAAACTGGAAACACGGGGAAAGAGCAAGGTGGTTGTGTCAAAAGTTTAAAAGCAGCATTGAGCAGCTCTCACTAACACAATATATCTGGGTTATTTAATCCATACATGTAAGCATACAAAAAGCTTGAAACTGTGAGTCACATCTTGTTTTTGTTTTTTTACACTTTAACAATTGAGATTATAAGTATGTGAACCTTTTTGTAACCTTCTGAGCGAGCTATGCTAGCTGTTTCCACCTGTTTACAGGTGTAATGCTGTTATAAAGGGCAAAGAGGGTAAAGGATAAGCTAACAGGTTGTTTACATCTGCCTCATGTACTGTATAGACATGAGAGTGTGATCCATCTTCTCACCTCTTAACAAAAAAAAGTGAATGCATTTCTCTACATGACACATCAAATGTGACTTAACTTTATAGAATAAAACCTTTTTTTTAGCTAAAATAACAGCACAAACAAATGATTGTATGTGTCTAATTATGATGCAATACTTTTTGGGCAAGGCAAGGGCAACTATTTTGTCTAGGCCTTGACAAATCTATTTCCAAACTCTCCCTCCGTGAGATAGAGTCCCTTGATGGCTCGAAAGGACAAGTGTTTTGTTCAGTTGTTTATTGGCGATGCAAAAGGGAGCTTTGGAGCATGTTAATTACACGTTTCTGGAACTAATTTGTCTCTCCCCTCAAAGGGGACAAGCAGTCGTTGCCTTTCTGTCCCCTAGTTTTGTTTATTTTATAAGCCTTTCAATCTAAAGTTTGAATTACCCAGAGTCATGTTGGCTTAATGATACCTTTGCAAATGAAGCTGCATCCAAACCTAAACAGCTGCAGCAGGATGGACAATAAACTTTTTATGGTGGGCTTTGCCGGGATAAAGGTTGTGTTGCTAGTTTGATGTTGCTAGTTGAAGATGTTAATGGTTAATAAAACAATCCAGTGTGACGAGAGTTTTCATTTATCCAGAGCTAGACGTGAATGTTACCTAAAGTGAGTGAGATGTGTAGATTAAACCAAAAGGCTTTATCCAGTGGCGGTTCTAGACCACTTTTACTGACGGTGCCAAACGGGGGCCAGTTGTTGTGTCAGACTGGATCATTAAACCCAGGTCAAAAATAGACAAAGATGATCGCTTTAAAAAATATATAAATATTGTGCAAAATAATAGCGCACATCATAAAATACCACAACATAAAATACCATGATTTATATTTGTTTCAGTAAGAGTATTTAATACTAGATTGTGAGTCCGGTTGTTGAGTCAAATGCTGTGTTTTGAGGGGGGGGCTCTTCCTTTTGGAGAGGTGGCCACAGGGGGGGCCAAGCTCAGTGTTTACAGGGGCACTGGCCCCTGTTGGCCCCTGCCTAGAACCGCCCATGGCTTTATCTGCGTGTATTTACTGGTAAAACAACAATAAAGAGTATGTATTTAAAACAACAGAGCAGATAGAAATGGTAGAAAAAAAGTAGCACACAAAGCAAACACGTATCTCTGTTAGTTAAAGAGTTTATGCTGTTCAAGTTGTGGAATTGTGAAACAGAAACCGATGGCACACTTGAAATTTGGTGGAAGAGTGTAACATTGGCCAAAGAAGAACAAATGAAGTTTTGGTGTGACAGGGGATGCTGATGGTCTAGTGGTTGTGTGTGGAGGCTGTGGTCCTCTGGACTGGCAGCCCGGGTTTCTGGTCCGGCCTGTGGCTCCTTTCCCGTGTGTCATTCACCATCTCTCTTCTCTCACCGATTTCTGTTTCTATTCATTGTCTTGTCTCTAGATGGAAGCATAGAAAGCACAAGAATGGACCTTTAAAAAAATGTTATGGTGTGACAGACCACATTTTTTCATATAATTTAAAACTGAATTATTGTCTTTGCTGAGCCTGTGCTCACCTCCCAGTGGTGACGGAAAAGAGATACAGTACATCCTCTGGGAAACATTAATGGCTGTACACATTTCCATGAAAAACCATCTTGCTGCTTTTCAGATAAATCATTTAAAACCAAAGTGAAGAACTAACTAACAGGCCGAGAGCCTTTGCTCTAAATCACAATCCAAACTTTATCTTTATACCAAAGGCCACTATAAACAATGTCTGGTCAGTGCGGTTCTTCTGCTGGTGTTTTTTTTTATTTCTGATACCATCAAGTGTTCAAAGCAGTACTCTGTCTCCATTAAGGCTTTTAAAAGGACTTTATATTCTTGTTTTATCTTCCTTACACTCATAAAATATAAATATTAGAAATCAAACCAACTTAAGGTGATGCATAGCTGCAACAAAGCAAAGGAATAAAACCTGTTTTTATGTGTTATGCTGCTGTTCAAAGCAAGACACAGTCAGGTGGTGTGATGATGAACAAAGATCCAGTGGAGACGAAGTGTAAATAATTTAGAAAAGCAGTAGATCTGTAAAGCTCTGTGTGTGGCGGCTGTAAACTGTGTGCTCTTTGATGAGAGAAAGGTGTAAATACCAAAATCACTTCAGTTGGAATGTAAAAGAGTTTTTCAGGTTATGTCGAATGAATCCAGTAAACAGGAGAAAAAACATGAACTAGAGAGAAAAAACAACAGAAGCTGACAGTGACATGAGGCTAAATGAGGACAAATGTGTCATATTTCACCATCACCTAGTTTTCCACCTTTTTTATTTGTGATTTCGAGGTCAAATCTGGCTATGACATTTTGCATCTCTCCGTTAATTTATGAGTTTGATTTTCATCTTCTGATGGTAAAATGATCACCAAGTGACACCATCGATCAGCAACATAAAAGCATTTCATTGTTTTTTTTAACCGTATCCGTATGCTCATTTGCAGTTCTCTTATTGTGTTAAGTAGCATTTTGCTGTTGAGCCTTAATATTCATGCCTTCATGTTAAGCCGTTCGCCTGGTATCACAACATTACAAACCTTTTTCTGAGAGCACCTGAAGCAGACCACACAATAGCCTACACCCGACCTGAGAGCTGTCAACCAGCGGATCAAGCAGCTCATGTACTCAGAATGGTTGCCAAGTGATTGTTGCCCATGGTTATAGAGGTAGAGGGTGAGGGGAGCGAGATACTTCCTAGCGAGTTACTGTAGTTTTCTACCTATCAGAGGAATATCCCACTGCCAGCATCAGCCTCAGAGGATAGAAAACTCAATTTGATACTTCATTATTTGTTTTCTCTTTGTGTTTCTGCTCTACACACACAAACACACACACACACACACAAAGAGACACACACACATTGACTTCTCTTTTTCATCTGTCTCACTACATTTGCATTGCACATGCTTTCCTGTTAGATGCAAATCATCTGTGTTTGTGCTCTGTTCGTTCACTGTGTGTGTGCTCTGACTCCAGCAGGTGACTCGGGACGAGGGAGCTGCAGCAAGGTAAGATTCCCTCCTGCTCTAGCACAGTATTCATGATTTTATTTCTGTAGAAGCAGAAGTACAAGACTAATATGTTGTCTTTGGTGTTTTTTCCCTTCCTGACATATTTCATATGACCACGATTCTAATAGAATACTTTACTAATAGCTTGATAATTGAGTATTTGAGTATAATTTGACTTGAAAGTCACTATTGAGTAAAGATATTTCTCAAGAATAGTAACATTACTTTTTTTTTTAAATATCTTTCTTTTTTTTTTTTTTTTATCTTTCATTTGATGTGCTTATAAAATACCTTTCCTACAATTTAAATTTAAATCAGTGGTTCCCAACCTCTAATCTTGGCTTGACCTTTAAGATAAGATAGTACTGAGTTCAGCTCAAAAAGTAATTTCCCTTTGAACCTTTTTAGATCAGTCAAATAATAACTATTCAACTTATAAGCAAAGGCATCATATTTAAGTTCCCTAAGAATGAAGTCTTTATATCTATGGAGGTAGCTGGTCCTGTTTCACAGAGCATGATTCACAAAGAGAAACCAATCACTCACTGGCTAAGGTGTTTTGGGTCATCTGTTAAGGGAGAGATGTTTGATGTTTGATGTAATCTCAAACCTCACCACTAGATGTCCCCATATCATACACACGGCTACCTTTAATGTAATAGTGTTAATAGGAAAATAATGCTATTCATAATGATTTGTGAGTCACAGCGGGGGACATTTTACCAAGGGGTGATTCAGTATTTTCCTCGTAAGAATGATTTTTTTTGTATTGTACAGATATGTTTATTAAGTAACTCATCCAAACATATCGTACACGGCTTGGTGTAAAAATACAAACCTAAGTACCTAAAAGATCTTCAGTGGTGTTAAATTAAATGAGAAGAACAGCTGACTTTTACCACAAAGCGCTCCTCTGATGATTACCAGTTTTCTTAACAATGTAACACTTCAGATTATCCGCTCACATTAATTCAAACTGTGATGCTGTAATTTGCTGTGAAGGTCAGCTGGGTTCCCACAAGCAATGTGACTTCTTTGCTCCTTTTTTCCCCTCCCAAAGAAATACTCGGGGATAATAATAATTGCAATCGCAGCCTTTAAAAACTTCAATCTCATGCAGCTATAATGGTGCAAGGTTTGACAGAGCACTTTACCAAACAATAATGAAGTCCAAGAGCTCGGAAATGGATGCAGGGATTCCTCTCTGGCTGAAAAGTAAACACAGATCGGGACGGACACAATCTATCTATCTCAATCTCCAATAAACATGCCCCTTGCATTCAACAACACTAAGAAAAAAAATCAGCTACTGCTCCTAAACTACGATTAGAGAAACAAAACAAACCCTGCAGAAAGAAATAACACGCTTCTTCAACTTGTTTCAGTTTCTTTTTCTTTTTTCTTTTTTTTTGTGGTATGATCACTGGAGCAGCAGCAGAAAACACACACACCCCGACACACACACACACACACACACACACACACACACACACACACACACACACACACTCCACAGCAGTCTAAAGAGGCATTCAGAGCCCTTCTCCTTAAATGGTCAAAGCTCCCAGGGAGTGAAAGAGAGGCTGCTGCTGCTGCTGAAAAAAAAAAGGGAACAGAGGGGACGGGAGAAGGAAGGAGAAACTTAGAGGATAGAGGAATTCTCTGAGAAAAAGCCTGAAAGTGACAGTTAGGCTGTGGGGAAGTCGGTTTGCATTGGAGCGATCAGCTGGAGTTTGTGCGTGTGTTTGTGTGTGTGTGTATGTGTGTGTGTGTGTGTGTGTGTGTGTGTGTGTGTGTGTGTGTGTGTGTTTCGTCGCAGCTCTAGGGCTGGAGTCAGGTAATGTGTGTAATCTCTGTGAACAGGTTCAGAGGATTGGCTGTGTGGAACTGTGGGGTCTGAGGGGTAGATAGTTTTAGGTGGACACATGCAGCAGGTGTTACAGCTCTATCGTGTCCGTGAGAGTGTCTACAGCTGTATCAGACTTGTGCACGAGGTTGTGTTTTTGTACTCTAAGACAGTTTTCGACCTGATGCCGAACATCCAGGGTGAGTTAACATAATCCAGTGTTTCTTTGGAAGTAAAACCTCTCTCTTTCTTTCTTTCTTTTTGCTTTGCGATCAGATAATCTTGTAATTCAGTTCATTTATCTATCCCCTCACCTGATCTATTTTCTTTTCCGCCTCGCACTTCCTCTGCCCTGTAATCTTTGTCTGTGGCACTTCCTCTGCAGCCCTGTACTCTGTGCTTCATACAACCAAATTTCAAACAAATCTGGCAAGAGGGAGCAGACTTATGCAACAGAGGAGGGGAGGAGGGTCGCCTTGTCGTCCCCTGAGGAAAGAGACAGTTTAGTGAGACAACTGCAGTGAGAACTTCAGTTTGACTCTGATGGAAAATAAGTTCCTATCAGAAGAAGTGTGTGTACTGCAATATTTTTGTGTCCTTGAGGAGCTGTGGTGTGGGGACTGACTGAGTTCATGTATGTTCTGTCCTGTTCTCCCACTACAGGAAATATTCTGAGTGATTCAATTACTCTGCAATATTTATCTCAGTGTCATGCTCTGCAGGGAAACAGTCTGCACCATCAAGCCTCCTGCAGGGCAGGTTGGCAGCTTTGTTTTGTCTGGGGTTATTTTTTTTAGATGCTAATTGTTGGTATTTTTTTTTCTTAAATTAAGGATTGAGTAATCAAAAGGAAACATTAACCTGTTAAGGTTCCTTTTCAAGTTTGTTTGGGATTTCTTATGAGGAAGTTATTATATTTGGGATAAAGCAGGTGATAGATACAAAAAAAACAATATGTATCGATAGTGATTTTTGAAGTCTTTTTATGTCTTTTATGTCACACTTTTGTCAAACCTGTGGCAAGAACAGTTCTGATCAGAGAATAAAAATAGGGGTTATATAAAAAGAATTTAAAATTCTAATGTTTTCAGTTGCATAAAATGCAGGTGGTTGTTACCAAAGCCACTCTCATATTTATTTATGCAGTAGAACCAAAATTAGGAGATTTAAAATTGTGTTCTATTATGCTATTCTCTGCATTAATAGAGAAGGGATCTTAATCCTGTCTGATTGTTTTCTTGTCATCAGGAAATATCCTTGCAGCTCACTGGGATTAAGTTAAACAACCCATTTCCTCCCTCATGACTCACAGCCTTTCTGTGGCCTTATGTTCCCAGGAAGATGTCATCTTCCGTGATGACACTTAACAGCACACTTTCTGGCTACACTTTCTGGCTAAAATCACTTTAAGATCAAAAATGACTCGTCCTGAAGACAAAAATTTGAACAAGACCACTCTTAAATACTCATTACTTGCTTGCTAGTGAATGACTACAAGCTATAGAAGTGAAGACAATAGCCACACCTGTGACGCTCATGCATATGTTAATATTTCTATTTCTGGGGCAACCAAATGAATGGGAACTACATTAGCTACCCTTGGAAATAGTGCGTGCATAGTCTGAGCTCTCTGTGCTTCTTCAGAGGATAAAATCTGCTCTGCACTTGGATTTGCATACATTTGTTTCCTAAAGGAAAGAGCTCTGAGTTCAAACATTGGATCAAACTAGCTCCATCCGTATAATTTCACTAAATAATTGTGTTTGTTTTAAGTGAGCCAGGATTGTACACAAAACATCTCTTTAAATCAAATGGAGATAAATAATAGCAATATTTAAGGAAATGATTATTATTATTTTATAGATCAACAAAAAAAAAAATTAGCCAACATTTGGTATTTTTCTGTGCAAAAATAAGTACTTTGCTTATTCCTGCTTCACATATGGGATGTTTGTTTTTGTCTTTGTGACAGACTTCTTTTAGATGTGTTTTTTTGTGAACTGTTGTGATATCTCCTCTGATACTGTAATTGTAAAGAGGTTTTCTTTCCCCTCACAGCTCAGATTCTGCAGGGTTTTGTGTTTCTGCTGACTTTCCTTTGAGAATTCTTGAATGTTTTCCCCCCACAGCCTCTCTGTTTGTTTGACACTGTCTGTCAGGAGTTCAGTGCTTCAGTCTGTGAGAGCAAGAGTTATAACATCTAGCGCAGGCCAGTCTGTGCGTTTCCTCTAAAAATGAAGACGTCTTAATGAAAGTCACTACATGGCGAGAGACGGTTTCAGTTCTTCCCAAATCGCATCAAACACTCTAACACCTTGAAATTTGAATGCCTTTCTTCACGGTCCATTTCATCATTGAAGGAATTATAAGTACAAACTTACTCAAGAGCTTTAAAGTAATCTGTGGGGTTTCTTTCAAAATATTTCCTCAAAAAAGCAGGATGGTAATTATGTTGCTGCATTCTTGCATAAGGATATCGGCACTCTTGTTCTCGTCCACAATGCAAACACTCTTATCCTTTTTGCCACTAGTGGTCAAAAACTTCAAAGGATACCTTCAAGCCAATATTTGCTTCAAATTGGAATAAATAAAGCTTAAGTTTTTTTTTAGTTTTTTTTATTTCACTAATCTACCTTATTGATAATTTGGCGTACAAACAGAGGACACTCTACTCTTGTAAGGGGGTAAGAAGGCTTCAAATATAGTCATTGGAACATTTAAAGATTATGTTTATAGGTTGAATTTCTGTTTTTGATCAAACAGTTTGTGGGAACATTTGCTAATGTCGCTGTTCAAGAGGATGTGGAATGAAGCTATTTTGGGCTACTTTTTTTTTAATCGTGTGATAGATTTGATAGTTCTGCTTTGTCTTATTTTAAGCTGTGGTTAGCCAGAAGACTTCATTTAAAATATTACCATTCATGCATAATGCATTTTTCTCGAACTACTCCTGCATAACCTACACATTTGTTTGTGTCTTCATGTGTTCTTTTAGGTCCAGGAAGAGGAGAAAAACTTGCTGCTTGAATCTCCTTTTGAACAAAGCTGTCAGTCTGTTAAAGAGCCCTGTGACGTCCCCTGTGCTGCTGAAGAACCTTTTGTTTTCCCTCGCACCCGTTCACGCCCCTCGCTGCCCCCCAGCATGCCAACACTGCCTGAGGAAGAGGAGGACTCACCCGAGGAGCTGGACAGTTCCTCCAGCTCTCCCAGTACAGTGAGTGTAACTTTATGTATCACAAACTGTTTGTGTATTTGAAGTATTTGAGGTCGTAAAAGCTGACACTGAGTTTTCTGTTTGACCATGTTGGGGAAATTCCATCCATGTTGCTCCTGAAGTTTGTCTCTAAATAAAAGTATTTTCTTTACCTACAAACTGCTGCTTACAATGAGTAATTATTTTACTCTTGTCAAATGCTCCTGTACTGTTCAGATAAAAACTGTTTTAGCAGCAAATTCTGAACACCCTCCTGATATTTGACACATATGAACTTATTTGGTTTTGATATCATATGTCTGTAGGTGAGTGTTGTGGGGATGTCTTTTCCCACATCATGTTTACAAAGTAATCTGTAATTCCTCTGATTCCTGGATGTTTTATGACTCCATGAAGTCTACATTTAGCTTGTTGTTGCAACTAAATCATCCAAAGTGGAGCCACTGCTGAGGTTTTTAAAATCACGTGTGGAATTCTCTGAAGAGCTCGCTCAAATACTCTTGAATGTAACATTTCACATTATGAATTTCTTGATGATCATCAGGTTTGATCTAAAAGGACCTGGAAACTTTGTCAACGCAAGCTGTAGCAAATTCTCCATTGGACATTTTGAGGGTCATTTCAAACTGCATTCAAAAGATTTACACTTTCAAGTTGCATCATTTAGCCAGAACACTAAAAAAGCTCTGTTCTATTTCATTCTTCCTGACCGCCAGAGGCAGTTCTGAACACCGGATAATATCTGGCTTGTACACGCGCAGGTCAAGTATTTCATATCAACAAAGCTATATGTGACCTGAGATGACGTATGACGTAGCTTAAATGGCCTGCGTCATAAAAAAAACCCAACAACTTTATTTTGGAATGATTTCTTCTCTAAATTGTTCGAGCTTAAAAGGACACTTTCTACAGAAAGTTAAATTGCTGCTGAGGTTTTTTAATGTCATGTTTTGATTATTTCAATACAGAAACATTTTTTCCAAGTTTACTTACACCGTAGAAGAATGATCACAACAAATATTTGTATGACTAGGAGGAAGTAGAAATAAATGGATTTGAAATCTTTTTGACATTTGGGTGAAATGCCTTTCTAAATCATGACCATACTAAAAGTTAGAGTTCACAACACTATAAAGAACTCTGAATAAAAGAGTAAAGTGGTAGACAGTCTCCAGAGAATGTCTTCCTTGGTAAGCTCTCATTACCAAACAGGCTAGATCAGACATCTCTGCAGGATGTAATGAAGCTGAGTGATCTAATTTTCAGGACATATGCCAACACTATAACAAAGTCCATGTTTATTACAGCACAGCCGTGGCCTCTCGAGTGCAAAGATAAGATGTGAGAGGAGCTCTTAGAGAACCAGTGTTTGATTTCAGTCTGTGCTCTTATGCTTGTCTTATGATGGTTGGGATTTTATGATAGAGAAATTTGAATAACTGTCTATAAGTTTTCAAAATGCAACACGAGTCCATGTTTGGGGCAGTGGCGTGGTTTATGAAGTTCAGTTTTCTTTTTTCAGTTTTTGTGGCCTTAATATTTCAATATCTCTTGTAAGTGCCTCAATTAAATGGAAACTCAACCATGAATTGCTCTTTCTAAAATATTTGTGGCAATGTTCATGTGCTGAATATTATTCAGCATCATTTGCAATTCTTCCTCTCCTTGTTTTGAGTTGCTGCTAAAAAATAAACGTTTTATGGCTGCCCTAACAAAACACAACAATTAACTAATCAAATAAATTCAAGAGTTATTTTCATGTGTAAAGCTGTTATTGGTTACCTGTTTATAAATTGCATCACATAATGCACATCCTCCATGCTGCCGTTGTCCAAAACTGTAGCTAAGGCTAACCTCTCTTAGCCATCCCCAAGGCATCAGGGTTCTTGCCTTGTTTGGAAAGATGTACAACAGAAACATAGTTTTTGCCAACTGGTTTGGCTGTGTAGCTTTTTGTATTCCTAATGCTTCCACTGGTTGGACTGTGGTGCTCTGAACCTCCAGTCTATCTGGAGCTGTTTGATGAAAATAAAATATCTCTTACATGTATGCCAGTTTTGCTTGAATCTTGTCATATCTCTTGACATTTGCTTTTATTGTGTGTTTTGCAAAGTCTAACCCGGGTGAAAATCGACCTGTCACCATGACTGCCCCCACTATTGTCTACCCACAGCAGGCCACTATAGTCCAGCCAGATGGAGGTCCACTAGAGCTGTCCAGGTAACTGTTTACTATCTTCAACACTAAGAAAGAGCGCTTTATTTTAGCTGACTACAAGATTGATGCATCTGAATCTTTCCTTTTTCTTTCCTCAAGACCACACAGTCCAAGAGCTCGCCTGGCAAGAAAATCGTCTGCTGGACCCATCACCACTGTTGGTGGGTTAAACCTGAACACACACAAGCTGTTTTTTTTTAACATATGCACTCCTGAACATTTTTAGAAATATTTCAGGACTGTCCCTGGAATTTTCCAAAAACTATTCAAACTTGTCCCGAGACATGACATAATGTCAACAAGACGTTTTACCAAGCTTGCAGGCAAAGCAAATTCTGATGTTTTAATTACATTTTTCCCTTTATACCAATGCTCCATGTTATTGGACATATCCACAGTATTAACTAAAAAGCCATGAAGAACATACTGGGGAGCTTTTACTGTGTGCTTCTTCACAAATCTTGGACTAAGTTTGGTCAAACATGTCCTGAGACTTGAAACTATCTGTGTGTCCTCCCTCATGCCTGCAATGTTTTTCTGCTTTGATTAACTTCCATGTGGATGGTTGCTTTTTTTAGAGGAGAGGGGAGATAAAAACATCCATCACTTGGCCAGCCCTCATCACCTGATCTATTGGCTCTCATGCATCTGTGAATTACATCTTGGTCTGAGACTTTATACCAAGAAATCCCACTTAAATGTCTTCTTCAAAGGACTCTGACCAAAGGAAAATTATGAACTTCTTGTGCTTGAAATATTTATGTTTCTAAAGCCTTATCATCAAATGTTTTGCCAAAATAGCAGCACAAGTCTACTTATTGAGATCACTGTGCCTATAGCTGTTTTTGTGTGCTCCATTTTGACACGTAAATACAATGATGTGTCCAAGCATCAATATGGAGAGTCATAGGAAATCTAACAAGTGTTAATGTGTGATCTGTTGTGTGTGTGTGTGTGTGTGTGTACACATGTGCATTGTCCGTCACAGACAGCACAGGTAACGTGATCGACTTGGTGAAAGATCCGCTACCTGAGCTGCAGCTCTCTGAGGAAGATCGACAGAAGAACCTGGACCTGCTCGAACAGGCCAAGAAGGTCAGCGACCGCTTCCTGACACGCCGTGGCCGCCGCTCCACCGGCAGCCTCTCAGAATCCCCCACAGGTAGTGAACACACACACACACACAAACAGACACTAAGACTAAACATGTAGATCATATTTAAGCATTAGTTTACAGGTAGGAACTATTCCTTATATCAGGACCTTTTTTTGGTATGTTTTTGTGACGGCTTCTGAGTAATTTATGGTAATTATGACGCACATATCTTGATTTAGTTTGTTATTTTGACTTGAACTGGATAAGGTATTAAATTAAACACAAATATTTTTCTTCTCCTCAGCTCTTTCTCCAACTCCAACCCCGTCGTCCTCACCATGTCAATCTAGAAGCAGCTCACTGACTGTGGCTCCTCAACCAGGTTATTCACTTTTGCCTAGCTTGTTTAAATCTATTCCAACAACTTATATCTTTTTATTTCAACCAGTTTCACCATTTTTGGTTGCTGGAGTCTGCAACAATACATTCTGATGGTTGTTTTCTTTTATGTTTCCCACAGAGGCGACCCATGTCAACTCACAGTCAGCTGGGCAGGTAAAGAAAATGTTTTTGTTTAAACAATACTCATATTAGGGCAATTGACTGGCGACCAGTCCAGGGTTTATCCTGCCTGTTGCCCAATGACAGCTGGGATCGGCTCCAGCCCCCCACGACACTGAACGGGAAAAGGGGAATAGATAATGGATGGATGGACTGGGGGAGCTGTTCAGCAGATATTTTTCACATTTGAATTTTAAAAGTTGGCTTTGTTTCTTTCAATATACCTCTGGGATGGCACCAGGGTGTCTGCACCATTCTTGTGAACATGTTATCTTAGATCTGCCCTTTAGGGACTGCCTAACATATAAATAAAAAAATTCCCACAAAATGTATATGCCACGTGTAACACTACTAAACCAAATAGTATAGATATTTGATATAATAAATCACGAGGTGACCTTTTATACACAAAAGCTCAAAGTTCAGCTACACAATTTCTCTTGTCCCATTTTTGTGTATGTGAAAATTCAGGAGTCCCTGGTGGAACGTTTATTTACATCCTTTCGAGAAACTCTCAGTGGTCTCATAGGTCATTCTGTGGGAAGTAAACTACAACATGGCTGGTTAGAAGAGGCTAACAATAACAAGGCATTTATCATAGTTTTCCTTTCTGTTGGGTTTCTAATAATGCTCAACTATTTGTGTCTGATTTTAATTATCCAGAAATTCTCTGTACTTTTCAGTTACTGTAATATTATCTTACAAATGTGACATCTTTTCCTTTCTTGTAGCACCTTGGGGTGCCTCCGGGGCGAGAACAGCATGACTTTACATCACAGGATAAAGAGGTCAGATTGACAAATTCACTCACTGTGTTTTGTAGAAGAGGGATGTTGTCCTTCACTCAGTCAGCCCCATGTTTACAGAGGAAGGGAGTCAAGAGACATCACTCGAAGGCCTCAACAGGCTTCAACTCACAACATGAAAACACATTTTCTGACCTGTGTCTTAAGTATTCAGATGTTTTTCTTCATGGCAGTTGAAGGGTGACTTAATTGTTTTTTAAGTGTTCACACATCCAATTGTCTGTGGTGATGCTGGGAAAGAGTAGTGCGCAGGATTTTTCTTTTCAAGTTATGACTTAATTGTTTAAAAGTATGTGTCAACGATTGTTTGATGTGTTGCCATGACATTTTGTGCAAACATTTAGTTTTTCCTTGTTACCAGGATTTTGATTTGTCCAATACATAAACATTGTAATCTAAAGCCAAATGCTTGACTTGTCAACATATTCCCATGCTAGCATTTAGCTCATATCACTGCTGCGCCTCATTACAGCCACAAAAAGCTTGCAGCTTGTGTGCCTGCAGGTTTTGTTTTAATATCTTTGAGATTAATGTCTGATGAAGGGGCTGAAGTATTTTACATTCTTTGTCAATACAAACATCGAATTGTAATTGAAGTACTCCTAGTTTGTGATCACAACAGGTCCCTAATGGTGATTTATATCTTGCTAGTTTCAGGGAAACAGACTGTTGATGGACTGGAAGCCAGCTGAGAAGCGGAAAGTGTCCTCTGGGACTCTAACGCCCCGTTTTGCTGTTCAGAAGGAGAACTGTGATCCTTCTCTACCTAAGAGTCCTTCAGCTTTTAGTAAAGCAGACGAAGGAGCTGGTCCAGGGCTTAACCTCAACCAGGCCCCAGCCACAGGGGTGGCCAAGCCCGTCCCTCGACCCCCTACTCAACTGGCCCCCTGTACAGCAGAGATCAAGACAATTGGGGCATTCCCTCCTCTAATGAGGGCTGTTTCCTGGGATGCTGTAGGCAGCCTTAACTCTAGAAATGGAGCCCCAAGTTTTCCTCCGACATTGGAGGAAACCTTCGTGGAAAATCCCAGGGAAGCTGTGTTTAAGTCATCAGGAGGGTACAAGGACCTCCCCAGCCAGTCCGGGAGTGTACATAAACTCTCTAAACTCAAAGAGGTGGAGTATTTGTGCTTTTGTAGTCAAATGCCCCTAATGTGAAAGATGTCAGAAGTTCTCATGTGTGACTTTTTTTGTTAACAGGAGCACAAGCTGATGCGTACCCCAAGCATTCTGGGATCAAAGTTACCAGACTTGAGTGAAGCTGCTGAACAGGAAAAAGGTAGCAGTCCTCTTGTTTGCCCTCTTTTTCTCCAGCGAGGCAGAGAGTACTTTCAGCAGAACATTAAGCGACGCTTTCAGGGTGTGCACTTCCTGAATCTCAAGGAAAATCTGTTCCAGTCACAAAATCATAACGATATGTCCTTTCTTTTCCTCTGCCACACATTTACTGGCAACCACTTAACAGAAAAAATGGATGTTGTTTTTCTTTTCCATCAGAAGGTGGCATGATTGTTAAGGCCTGAAGCCAAAGACCAGCTATGGAACATTATATCAGGAAATGTGTTCACATTTTTGAAGAAGAGCTGTAGACCTGAGACTGAAGTCATTTTAACAAGGACTTCAGTCTTAACTAGGACATTCTTTAAAACCTGGCTTGTGCAACATTTCTCTTTTAATTATTTTAAGGAAAAGTTACACATTTTTCACTTTGATGAAAAGGGAGTCACAGAGTTGCTTTACATAACATTTAAAAAATAAAGGCAGCTCTTTCATGAACACCTTTGCACTAAAAGATAGCCAGACATTACTGATAATGCTGCTGCTAATTATGATGATATTGTGGATGGTGTTGATGAGGACATTCATGATGAAGATGGCACTGATGACATTGATGTTGATTTAAAAAACAAAATTTCCCATACACTCTGTACATTACCTCTGTGCCCTGCCTTTCATCACATGTGTCTGATCAGGGTTGAGACTGTTTGTTGGCACTTGCTGATGTTGTTTCCTTCAGTGTTGATACTTGCTTGTGTTGTATTTACTCTCAGCTATACAGTATGTTGCTTTGAACAAAAGTATCTGATGAAATGAAATTGTGACTTAAAGATGTGTTGTTAATGAAGACCTCAAATGCCTTTTTAGATATGGTATTTATTTTCTGGTCTGATAATGCAACAATGTTTCAGCAGGTCCTTCATCTTCAACAAACTCAGAGGAAGCAAAAGAGAAGTCTGAAGCCATGCCAAACATTTCTGACGTGATGCTGAGAAAACTCAAACTTCACCGAGGTTTACCAGGCTGGTGTGTAATATAACTGCTGCTTCTTTTATTAACTTTCAACCTTTTCTTTCTTATCTAATCTCTTGAAGAAAAACAACAACAATAACCCTCCTTGCATCTAACTTTACTGTTTACAAATCTTGTATGTAAAGTACTGACATACTAACAGCTCATCTTTGGTTTCATTCCAGTGCACCCCCACTCACTGAAAAAGAAGTCGAGGTTTGTATTTCTTTTAAATGCCATTCGCGATCAATGTCTGTGAAATGACTTTGCTTGTGCATGCTTTGGTGATTTGTTTTGATTTGGTGCTTTGCTTGTGCTGGTCTGCAGATCAAGGGAAAAGTTTGACAGTTAAGGAAAACACTTCTATGCTGTCTTATAGAGAGTTAAATGAGAAGATTGATCTCCTTTACATGAGCGGTATCAAACTTCTCAAGTCATTCTTGAAAAGACGGCAAAAAATTATTTCATGAAATGTCATGCTCTAGTTGTAATTAACAACATTAGGAAAAAAAATTAAGAGAAAGTTTGAAAGGACTGCATGAAAGGCTTTTGTATACACAGTAATTTAATTAAACTTAAACCCTTAAACACACCTTCAATCCACTATCCAGTAATAAACTGTTTGCAGGAGTCATCACCCATCATAATGGGTTATAAAACAGACCTCCAACAGTAACCCCATGTACAATAAATTGTGTTCAAACATTAACGGCAGATTTATTGTTCCACTCCGTGCTGAACATTTGCCACGCACAGGCCGGCACAGACCCGTGTGTATAATAACCTGTTTAATCACAAGAAAATGACTTGCACAGTCATAAAAACTATGTTTTGTTCCTGATCAGACTGAAGAGTCTCTGAGCAATTTCCTGTGGAAAAAAGGTAGACATTAGTGACGTTGTCGGGCTCCAGCTGAAGCCACTCTTGCTGCTCCCTGGGGTGTGTGTGTTTGTATCAGGAAAGTCAGAGAGGTCATATATTTCCTCTGAGCTGCGGCCATGTATGTCAGAAAATTGCGCAGGCTGGCTTTGATCATCACAGCACAACATCAGGAGGTCAGAACCACAGCTTGTTCCCAGGGCTGCCTGATTCTCTGTCACGTGTTATCAAATTAAAGTTATCATTTTAGTATTACATAATTAGTGTGTCTATGTGTATGTGCACTACAGTGGGAGTGTTTACCATGGACACCTCTAAGTTGGTGTGCTGCCATCTCCAGCAATTCATCGGTATTTAATGTGCTGTGTAGTGTGCCATTTTGTGTTTCATATTGCCGTACTTTCCTCCCCACAGAATGCATTCGTGCAGCTGTCTCTGGCCTTCCGTAATGACAACTACACCCTGGAGATGCGGCTCAAACAGGCAGAGAGGGAGAGGAACCTGACTGAGGAAGACACGGAGAAAGAGCTCAAGGAGTTCAAAGGAGCCCTAAAGGTCAGTCCTGGAAAACATCATCCTGTAAGGGGACTTACTCACTTGAAACAGAGAACTCCCTCTGGCTCTTTAGTACTCGGTCATCTGCTCAATGTTTCCTGAAAGTGTCCCAACAGTAAATATTTATCTTGTCTGACTCCACTCCCAGGTGCAATGGGAACATGCATGTCCACGTTGTCTTCCTGAGAGAGCTCTAAGACGTTGTTGTTTGTTGACGTTTGCAGATCACTGCGCCACAGTGGCAGAACCTGGAGCAGCGTGAGTCGTACCAGCGCCTCATAGAGACTCTGACCGTGCTGCATCGACTGGCCACACGGCTCTCCAGCAGAGCAGAGATAGTTGGAGCAGTCCGACAGGTACAGTTACACAAATAAGAATGTAAAGGAAAGACAATGACAGAAAAAAAGAGAGTGCTGCATTGTGGGACTGGTTGTTTAAAAAGCTACTGCTTGTTTTGTCAGTTTCTAAAAATCATGATCTTTTGTGGTATTTTATCTGATGTCACAGCTGACCTCACGTGGACCAAAGCAAACATCAGTTAGTGGGCACATTTATTGTTTTTGCAGCACAGACATTTGTTATTTGTACTCCCAAGCTACTTATATGAATTACTTAGTGATCTTTGTACTGCTGCCAATCTATGTATAACCCATTAATTATGAGTCTCCTTAAAGTTGAAATAACTGATGAACCTCTATAACATGGCCCTTTGGTTCAGTTCCCAGTTGCATTAACATGGCATACAGATGGTTTAAAGTTAATGCTGCATTTCCAGCCGCAAGAGCATAAATAGTGTTTTCACTGAAGAGGACTTTTGAGAGGAGTCCCTGAGACTTTATTCAGCAAGACTTACAGCCTACTCCCTCCGCTGCAGTTCTTAGAATTGCCCAAAAATCCCACTCAGCTAAAACCTTGTAAAGTTGAACTGTTTCTGTGCAGGTATCTGTTGTTATGCAGCCCTGTATTGACTGACCTATCATTGTGCAACAGGAGAAACGTATGAACAAGGCCACTGAGGTCATGATGCAGTATGTAGAAAACCTGAAGAGGACATATGAGAAGGACCACGCAGAGCTGATGGAGTTTAAGAAGCTGGCCAACCAGAACTCTACTCGCTGTTATGGAGGATCTGTAGACACAGGAGGTAAGACTGCACTCAGGTGACTGCTTTAAAATCAAGCCCTGAGAACACACAGAACGAAACTGAGCCAAACTGATTGGATTTTCTTGTCGGTCTTTTATAGATGATGGCGTTCCACGGCCGTCAAGATCAATGTCACTCACACTTGGAAAGGTAAGCATTCATTTTCAGAGGGAGGTTTTGTAGTGCTAAAATAAAAGAGTTATCAATTAGATTTTGCTAATGGGAAATTCAATAAATCCTTTTGGCAAAATACCAAAAATTAAAACCTAAAGATTGGCTGCCTTTTTTGTTTCCTTGATTGAAAATGAAATGTCTTTGGATTTCCATTATAGCGTCATTATCTCTGCTATAGTCATTATAGCAGAGATTAGAGCTAAGTGCTAGGCTAAAGCTAGAGTATAATATTTTCCATGTTTACATTCTTGGTTTATTTTGTTAGCCTACTAAAAAATTGCAAATAAAGTACCACACAGGATGTTGGCCATGTATTTTATTTTATAATTTAACTTAATGAGCTTACGAGACAAAATGTTTGGTACTTGTTTCAGGCTAGTTTTTTTGCTCTACTGGTTTTGTTGTGTTTGTTTTGACTCTATTACACCACTCAGAAGCATTTGTCTCCTCTCTAGGCATTGCCCAGGCGTAGGGTGAGCGTAGCTGTGGTGCCTAAGTTTAACCTCCTGAACATCCCAGGTCAGACCCCGGCCACAGCCGGCCCGGGCCCCATCACAGGACCAAACATAGGACCAAACGCAGGACCAATCACAGGACCAAACATAGGACCCACAGCTGGTGCTGCTCTTCCTGTCCTGGTAGGTCTTCCTGTCAGGAAATAATGGGGGATACAAAATTGTACATTTACTAAATCGCCATTCAACTCAGGACACTTGTGAATGAAAACGTTCACTATTAGGACATCAGGTTAGTGTTTTCAAATGTTGTCAACAATCTGTTTCACACTGCTGTGAATTACTGGTTATGATATTTGAATCCTGCCTAAGGTCTATTAATTGTCTGTAGAAGAATAACTGAATGCATTCAATAAAGTCACAACTTTCTGGAAGAGAAACTTCCCAAAAGTCTGCCCATTTGTATGCTTTGTAGAAAAGTGATTAAGTACAACAACTAAGTAAAGAATCTCCCCTGTTGTGAAAGTGAAACATGTGCTAGATGCTAACATTAGCAAGCAATAGTCAAAGCAGACCAGAATATCAAACACATTCTAGGTCACAACTCGCCGAAGTCAAGGCGTCTATAGCCCATTGTATGGCTAAGGTTTACGTCCTTATGGTGTAGTTGGGAGTGACGAGTGACAAATTATTAGTTTATTTTTTTAAAGGGAAAAATCAAACAAAAGTCACACCTTGTACAATTCTTGAATCCCTACACGGAAAGGCATCAATAAAATAAATTATCCAACTTCCCATGGTAACGGGTTCATTTCAGTTATTTTCACAATATCTTGACTCCTTATTTGGGACTTGGGTTGTTTGAGTATAACAGATAATTGAATCACATTATCTCAGAAAAAAACGCTTGTTTTCTCTTGTTAATGCGATAGTTTTATGGATACCTACAAAATGAAACAATAGTCTGCTGCGATAGGCCAGACCATGACATGGCATCATGCCATTGCCTACACTAATGAGGCAAGTTAAGCCTATTTCTGTGCTTGTTTGTGCTTTTGAACTCCAAGGATACCAGATGAAAAAGAAAAGAAAACATTTAGGAATTACTTGTCGTTGGAAAGAAATTAAAGAAAATGTATGGATGCATGTCCGCTTAGAGGTTCCTTGATATAGATTCTTAGTGTTCTCTCGATTATCCTCTCAACCCGTTATGCGACTGTTTGGAAGGACCTGAGCTCAATATTGAGAAACACTGAAAAAACATAATATAAAGTAGTTATAAATAAGTATCTCCACTTTGAGTATCTTTAACAGTTCAATGCTGCTTGAAAACACATCCGTAGCTCCAACAATCTGATAATGCCAGGATTATCAGATTGGTACTTTGTCTCAAGTAAATGATGTGAATACTGCTTTTTAATTCAAATGTTTCAACATTCTTCTCATTAGTGTGAAGCAAGTGATGTGAAAGGCACTACTCCAACAGCGGCAGCACAACCTGCAGTAGAAAGGTATGGTTTCATGCATGTTGTTTGTTTTGCCCACCCCACACACACACACACACACACACACACACACACACACACACACACACACACACACACACACACACACACACACACACACACACACACACACACACACACACACACGCACAGGACTGCATGTACAGCATGCATGCATACCATTACTTGATTTCGAAGGTCACCCCACAGTCCTTGAAACAATGGACAGAGACCAGCCTGAACCTCCATTCATGCTTATCAAAAGTGTTTTGTGCTGCAGTGTGACCTTCATGTTGTTTGTTTGACCTTCAGGATGTGTTTTACAGTGCAGAGAAAGCCCCAGTGAGATGGAAATAACCCTGAAAGCATAAGAAATAATCAAGCCCTGCTGCAGTGGCTGGATATGTTAACCATGGTCGGAATCTAAACATTTGTGCAAGACTTTGACAAAGTCCAGAGACACAGTGCTCCAATCATATACTGGTTATAAAGTGAGCTAGAGTGGAGATCTCGAGGGTCTGTGCTTTATGTTCCGTGTGGAGACGAGAATAGAAGTTACAAAAAAAAGCAAAGTGCAAGCTCCATTTTTTCTCTGTTTTGAAATGCCTGGTCCGTGACTGTGATTTTAATGCTGGATGTTGTCTGTGAGAGGACAAGGCCACTGTGTTGTGATGGAATAAAACCACTCGGTTTTATAACTTCTGCTTTGATAGTAGTGGTGTCCAAGGCTGACTGTTCTTTCCCATCTGAAACAATGCAGTGGAAAGAGTGTGTCGGTGCAGGAAAGTGAGCCAGCCAAACCTGCAGTCAACTTAGAGGAGATCAGAGCCGAGATCAGAGCCGAGCTAAAGGCTAAGATCGAGGAGGAGTCATATAATAAAGGGTGAGGCCTTCTCTCCTATTCCTTAACTACACACAAACATAACCTGTATTATGATTTCAGTTATGTGGTTGTTATTGGGGAACATTTTCTAAGCTGCACGATGTTAAAGTATACAGAGATTTTACACATAATCATTAGTAAGTCTACATAATTAGTTATCGTCTGATGGTAGTTAATTTGAACATTTTAATATGCAGCTACCAAGAGGGACTGAAGCAAAGTAAAGTGCTACAGGAGGAGAAAGGTGAAGAAGAAAACCCTGCAGAGAAATTGCTGGATATGAAAAATAAGGATGAAGAGAGTGGGAAGAAGATAAAGACGAGCAGGTAAAGTGAATCTGTGGAGCAGGTTTCTGTTAGTTGAGCTCTGAAAGTATAAGCTGACCACATGCCACTGAATCTCATCTACACCACAAGAATACACCCCATCAAGTAATGACAAGAAATGAATACTGTCAGAAGTCCATCAGCTTTTGTATAGACACTCTGTACCTATTTTATTGAACATTTTGTTTCTATAGCATTGAAAAAAACAAGACAGGACAGTTTTATTGCCTGGCACTGACAGTGATGTGACAAACATTGTAGATAGAAAATCAAGCAACGAAAAGATCAAATGAAAGAAAGTCAAGATGAATGGGACCACTCTGAATGCAGATACAGAGACGTACTGTATGTCTGCCATTCAAGGAAATTATTTTCTCCTTTATTAACAACTCCAACTCTTCTTTATTTATAAAGCACTTTGCATACATAAAAAGTATGCAGATGGACAGTATATAAAAACAGAAAATGACAAATAGATCAAAGCCTAAAAGACTAAAACAGGAAAGACAGTAGTTGATAATTAAAATAGAAAATAGTTAGAAATAATAACATTTGTACAAATTAATCAATTTAAAGCAAATCAAATGTAAACACAATGATACAAATGTTGGCCATGGCTATACAATGACTCCAAACTAAAAGCCAGATAATAAAGGTAGGTTTTTAGTTTAAACAAACATTTAAAACCCTTTATTATGAAATCATCAGATCTTTACTCGATGATGTCATGATCTCCACAGGAGGATGCAGGAAGTCATCTTTCTTCTTGGTCGGGTTTGTCCGAAGATTCCTGTGAGTCGAAGACTTCTCTGGATCGCCCTCACGCTGTTCGTGGTGATGTGTCTGGTTATCAGTATTTTTACCTTCTTCAGCGACAAATACAGCAGACGTGAGGACACGTAAGCGAATGAGGAGTTTATGCGAGGGGAGAGATGAAGACGTTTGGACTGAAGTGTAAAACCTCAAAAAACCACAATAACAGAGACAACAGGAACCACCTGTCTGTCAGTTTACCAGATCGCCACTCTCGGACTGACTTGAATCTGTGACCCCGACTCTTCAGGGTTGAAGACTTTCTTTGGAGGTTTTATGAAATGTTGCCTTTGTAAGTTTAACAGCAATAATGATGATGATGATGATCTTGTTTGACCGGGAACATTTGAAGATTGTTTGCTACAGCTCGGAAAAAAAAACATTTTTGTTTAGGGACCAAAACTTTCCATTTAAAACCACAATAGAAATGTGTATTTTAATCTGCACTCGATTGTGAAAATATAATCTCTCAGGTCCAATAGAAGCTAAAGCCTAACTAAAGATACTGAAGTCATATTTAAAGATATAGAAAATAAATGTGTCATTTCTATCATGTGTATTTATATATTTTAAAATATAGCACATTCCAAAGTAGTGCAATATTTTGCAGTCGATGGTTGTAGTTTGTGTTATTTTGGATTGTGTCTTCAGAGCACTGAGATATTTTCTGTATGAATGAGAGCACTGTTAAAATGGCCTTTTTAAAACCTTCTAAGCACATGTGTGCCTTCCTGTGGTATTTGTTCTCTGTAGATTGTATGCTCTGCCACTTCACCTTTTAATAAAGGTGCCTGAAAACACATTGTTGTCATTTACATTGGAATAACCTGCCCGACCATATGATGATAAAATCCCTCCCATGGGTTCTGTAAACCTGCTACAGTCACACATGTTTTGGTCACCTGGCAGGAGACAAGACGCCGAAAACATAGAAAGAAGTTTTGCGTGTAGCATTGACAAATTATTGTGTTATGAAATGTTATGGTTAACTTTATGTATTTTTACCTGTTTGATATGAAGTAGTGGCCAGAGTGTCCTGGCCATGACAGGCAGCAGCACAGTTAACTAAGTTTCAGACAAACATCGACCTTACTGTTGCTAATCTTCACATCTCGCATTTACTGAGCAACGTTTGATCAATTTGGAGTCATAAATGTCACCACAACATGAATATAAGTCCTGTATTTCCCCCTGCTGAGGGAGATATCTGGCTCTGAAGCTGTGAAAAGCTCCATTATGTTCCCCAACCAGTCTCTAATTTTGTATTTCTGCTGCTTATTGCTGAGCAGGCGATAAAAGCAGCTACTGCTTTAAAACAATGCATTGATAGCAGTGAGATTTAACCAAACATTTTGGGATATACAGGAAAACGATCAGCTGAAACTCTGTATGACACTTCGTTAACCTAGAAAAACTATTATTACTATTATTCTGTGCTGGAGCAAAAGAACCCCCCACACACACACACATTGTAAATCCTTCATTTGAAACAGTGTTATCATAAAAGTTACACATTCCTCAAAGGAAAAGATCAATGTGTTCTAGGTCATTGATTCCATTGTCTTTAATGACACAGACATGAAGGCTTTCCTTATAATGACAAGCATAATTCACTGGAAAAAATGTTTTTTAACTATAAAAAAAATCAAGAGGTTTCTTTGTTTCTTTGTTTATTTGGATCCCCATTAGCCACCACCTAGCAACTACTCTCCCTTGGGCCCTTCATACAAACATGAAGGAAATCTTTCCCGGGAAACATCTCACAGGAGGAATAGCCTTGGTGTAAGTTTTATGATTTACAGGAATTGAATCAGCAACCCCATGTGCTTTTCCTTCCATCACAAATCAAAAGTCTGCTTCCGTCAAAACCTGGGAAAAAACATTGTTGTTCATAACCACAACTTCTCTAGCCCAACATATTCTCAATAGAGTTGCTCAATTAAGTCATGAGAGCATTACATTAAACATAACATTGGTTTAACCCAATGGGGTATATAACCAACACTCAAACCAATAGAAGTGAAATACCTATTCTTTTCCGTAGCTCCTGATGGTCATTTATTATCGTGCCACAGACCTCATTGACGCCTCACATCTGCGCGTTGGTCAGCACTTTTTGCGTCATTTCCTGCCTGCAGGGATTGTGCAGAGATGTTTTTGTGGAAGTGGGATGTGGTCGTGTGCCAGAGGCTCATCAGAGGACACCAGAGATCATAAGCACATTCATGATTGAATAATGCCCCTCGGGAGGAAGTCATTTGGACAGAGAGCCCAGAGTCAGATGTCAGTAGCAGTGCAAATCGCTGAAGACAGCTTTTAAATCAACGTGTATTATTTTACAGGTCTAGAGTTTGAAAGTACACCAGTCAGGATAAAAAAAAACACCTATTTTAACACAAATCCTGTGAAAGTGTTCAATAGAATAGGATAGATAACCTTTATTGTCATAGCACATACAACTTACAGTGCATCTCTAAAAATGAAAATGACATTCAGGTTATGGCAAATGCATTTAACCACACACACATTCACTTAATAATAGAAATAATACAGGAAGATAAAATATTATATTAAAAAAAAACAGGTGGGTTTACTTACGTCTAAGATGTTTCTAAACTTTCTTTACTGTGATGAAAAATATCCTGCACATTATAAAACAACTTAGAAAGCAAATTAGAAAGTAACCCAGTACACAGCTGAGTACACAGGGGAGTCCATTCCACAGATACTTTGACATGCTTGGATTGATATTTGACTCTCAGAGACACTTGTAGTAGTTGCCTGCATGGACATGGGTGAAGATCTATATTTTGACTAGTAGACAAAGAAGGGACTATGTCGAAGGAAGAAGTGATGTATAACTTTCAGGTGTGTGTCATTTCGGTGACTGTGTATAAAAAGCAAGCTCAAGAAAGACCGTGTGCGCATTCAGCCAGAGCACTCTGTGCCTGACTGGTGTGGCCAATTCCATTTTTTTGTGACTTAACGCACAAAAAAATCTCCTGTCATCTGTTGATGTGTCTCCTGGTGTTTCTTACTTTTGTTACAGAAAACATCACAACACATAATATTATTACGTTTTTTTGGGAACACTTCTGTGTAAGAAAACCAAAACCTTATCATTCCTGCATTTTGCTCTAGCTGTGTCTCCTGTCCATGTCAAATGGGTTTATCTCTTTTCCTCCTGGGACCTGCTTCTAGCACATATGATCGCTCTTTATCTGACCTGTGAGCAGTACTTCCCTCTTCCTTTTCCTTTACTCTCTGGCAACGACAGAGCGCACACAACCCAATGGACAGAATCACCTCTATTTAACCCTGGCATTTTGGCTCTCAGACACACAATCTGTGCAGCTCTCGCCTGCAGCATTCATCATTCATCTGTCTTCTGACCAGTCATGACTATGCTCTGCCTTTGCATTACATTGCTGATGTCGATCGCTTCAGTCACCTCTGATCAAAATATCAACACAAGCCACATCAGAGGTACATTATTCCAAGTGTTTTATACTTATTTTTCATACAATGTTTTTGTGTTGTTGTTGGTCCTGAATCTGAAATGATTTTGTATGCTTTTTCCCCCCAGTTTTTCCAGGAACAAATCAAAGTGTTGCAGGAGTATTCCAGGTTAGTTTCATAAACCAACACAACAAACCTGAGTACGTCTACAATGCCTCTGAAGCTCGACAGCTCTGCTCGAGCCTCGGAGTGAAACTGGCCTCTAAATCTGAAGTGCGGACAGCTCTCTCCAGAGGTTTCGAAACATGCAGGTAAGACCAGAGAAGAAGACACACCATCATCATCATCATCATCACTTACCATGGCATAGAGTGATGATAAGTGTCCTTATGTGATGTTTGAATCCTGTGTAGGTATGGATGGATCGATGAACATTTTGCAGTGATTCCCCGCATTAAAGCCCTTTCTAACTGTGGCCAAAACCAGACAGGCTTGCTGACGTGGAGGACCTCAGTTACTGAAACGTTTGATGTGTTTTGCTTCAATGAATCAGGTATGATTATTTTTACATGCATTGCTTTAACATCTACACTTTAAGAGCAACAGTTGAAGGTATGCATGGATGATTTTCTTTCAACTGGCCTTATAATCAGCATTATCTTCTATTTATGTGAATAGAGGCTGTGCTAAAAACTTTTTGCACTTACATTTAAACTGATCTAGTATTTGGTGTCATATATATCTTATATTAAAATGTCAACAAAAAAACAAAAAAAGAATATTTTATGTTAATTGAGCAAGTTTTTTTTTTTAGTTATTTAAGACAAATGTGTATGTCAAAACAGTTGTACAAGGACATTAAAATAGAGCTAATGGAAGTTATAGAAAATAAAAAAAGTGGATAATGCAAGCCTACATTCATCAATTGGCATCTATCTAATCTTTTGTGGCCTTTTCCCCAGACGCAGCCATACAATTGAGGGATACAACAACTGATAGCAGTTCAAGGTACTCCACACAGACCCTGCTCTCTTTGTCCTCCTCCACCTCTCCTCCTTCTTCCTCCTCTACTCCTGAAACCTCAGAAAGTGAGGAGAAATCAGCCCTGTTTGTCGGCAGGGCACAAGGCTCCTCTGGAGGTATGAGGGTTTTTTTTTTTCTAACAGGATCAATAATCAACAAATTAAAAAATATTTTTCATGTGACCTTTTTTTGTACGGCTGATGTCTTCATGAATTGTATGTTTTGTTTTAGGAAAGGCTATTCTCATCATCACAACTTGTGCCCTTTTCCTGATTGCAGTAGTCATCCTGGCATACTTAAAACTGTAAGTGAATTTCCATATAAGAAAACAACTCAAAATAAAACAGTCTAGAAGCTGATAGTTTAATATACAAATGATGCATATTGTGCTTTATTGATGCATACAGAAGCATATTCCTCCTTTTTGTTCTCTGGTTCAACTATTGAAGCTTAACAAGATTTCTCCTTTGTGTTTGTAAAAAAGGCGGAACAGTCACACTGACGTGAAGCAGCAGCCGGAAGAATACATTGAGACCGAGGAGTGGACGAGTGTGAAGGTTATAAAGGAAACACAGACAGCTGCTCAGGAAGATGAGAGGATAGAAGTGGACGACGATACAAGTTAAACATTCTTAACATTCTTCCAATATGAGGTTCTATAGATACAATCTACAGAGAAGTTGTGATTAGTATTCATTTTAAGAAAGAAGGAGTGCCTTCTGTTGTGTCTTGAAAGCAATGTAACATAAGGGTGGTAAAGTACATTTATTTTTGTATATTACACGTTTTTTTTAAATAATATTTTCAGTTACATGATGTAATTTGGCCACTAGATGGCAGTGTTGGCGATACAATCTTTGTAAGGTCGGCATACTTTCTACTGACACCATTTGCTGCTTTGTCTAGTGTAAATACAATGGGTTTTTTTCAACAATTTACAATACTTTTTTGTGAAAGGCACGTTTCATCACGAACATAGAATTCTCCCAGATCACTAAAGAAATGGATGTATGTAGCCATAACTCACTAAAACCCTCATTAAAACAAGCTATTTTATGGAGAAACACTATTAATGTCTTATTAGAACTGTCTGACTTAACATTGTGCAGAACTTCCTCAAACATGTGTTCATATGTCTGATGTAAGTGACCGAAAACCTCAAGTTTTTTAACAGACTCCTTACCGATGGAGTGTAATGTACAGCTGTGAATTAATTTAAGAGTTTCTGTAATAAGCCTGACTTGACACATACAGTCAGTAATCTTTGTGTGAGAAAGTGACAGCAGTCATCCAGGTCTTCACTCGATGAAACTTGCCTGTTATCAGCTTGTTAACAGCTTAAAACGACATTCACATTGTTGATGAATCATATAATCATCATAGCATTTCAAAATGAAGCTTAATGGTGATTACTGAGATCTCAGCTTGCCTGGATTCTGATAAAAGACGATCCACTTTATTCATAGATTGAACCCATGGCTTCAGACTTCACTGCATCCACTATAAAGCTAAGTTCATTACACAGTGTCTCATGCCTGTAGGCCATGCGGATCTGTGCCACGTTGGTCCGACAGATATCGTTCCCTTCAGGTCCGTCTTTGAGATAGTTCACACCGAGGAAGTGTTTCTTGTCCTGTTAAAAAAAACAACAGAGCATACAGACGCATGAGAACAAACGGGATGGAGATTTTTTGCCATTCCCAGCACGGCCGAGTAAAAGTTACAAGGAGAGGAGAGAGTTTCTCTGTACCTGATGAGACAGTCCGCTTTGCAGCACGCTGTTCCTGGCTATTTCACACACATCACAGGTGCTGAGCTTCCAGAGCTGAGCTGCGATGGCATACTCTTCCATTAATGGTTCCTAGAACAAGGACACAAGGGGACATAAGTATGTTTAGTGTTATTGTTCTGAATGATTCTGATGAAGTGCCTCATAGAAACAGTATTTAACCTGTATATTTCCTGTGCGTTTACCTTGGTGTAGTGGAATTGCATGGGATCATCTGTGGACAGAGACACACACAGGCCTTTGTGTAGGAACTCTTTGAGAGGATTTTTGGAGTACTCCAGAAACAGACTGTTGTTGCTGAGTGGTGACATTGCAATTGGAACCTGGGCCAGGTAGTACAGGTACTGCAGCACAGGACTCTGAGAGAAAGATGGAAAAAAACAAAAAACATATTTTACAGCCAGACAAACGCATACAGCATGCAGATGTTGAAAAAAGTTCTGCTTCTTGATGTCCAAGCTTCCTTATGTCACGTTCTATCTAAATATACAAGTGAGTCATCTTCTAGTATTCTTTGTAGTGAGCTGTGTTTATTCTGCAGCTCCACCTGGTGGCACACAGGGACTTACAAGTACTACATAGTTAAAACTAAAACATAACATTTTGTTTGAGTTTCAAATAATGAACACATTATTATAATACAATATTATAATTTGTAAACCTTGACTGACGTCCTAACTTACAATCAGAAACTTAATAAAAATGGAAATAAAAATGCCCTTCTATAACATTGAACAAAATCACTATAAAAACTAGTTATCTTTGCAGTTTGGGTTGTAGATCGATATCAGCGAGTCATTGTTATTGTTTTTCTTCAGAGCATGCGTTCTCCCCTGTTTCTGAAGCATACTGTGAAATATCCAGAAACTAAAAACATCCGATCTCTCCTCTCTCACCTACAGCTCAAACTGTTCCCTGATTATTCTCAGCGCATAAAGCAATAAAGCTCATTTCATTGTTGATAATGTAGATATTGTCCCAAAGTTAAAGTATTACAGAAACTAATCCTTCACAGAGTTTCACAGTTTTGGTTGCTGTAATGTATTTTTAAAAAGAACAAAGCATGAGAGAATCAAATAACTGATCTGTAGCATTTTGAAGAGGATCTCTCCACTAAGAAGTTCCCTGATGCATTCGCACCGCCATGGTATCTACACTGAAGTAGGAGCTAAAAAGGTTCCTAAAGCTAAAGGGTTCTATGAACGAAGATAGTTCATAGTTCCTGCGCGTGGATAAAGAAGGAGGAGAGTTTTAACAGTTCCCAGAGCTATGAGGAAGTTCCTGCAGTGTGAAAACGCCTTTAGATTCTGTAGAAAAGTATCTGAATCCCGAACCTTTATCATTTTAAAAGAAGGATCAAACATGGCAGCTTTAGCAAGTCTGAAGTACCTTTTTCAAGTTGAGTCCATGTGAGATGTTGTCAGATGTCAGGAAGGCAGAGACTAAATGTGTGATTGAGCCCGCTTCTCCACAGTGAGGACGGAACTGGAAGGTGCTCAATCCACGCTCTCTAAAGAGGATAGGAAAGAACAGAATGAAGAAGTCAGTAAACATGTCATTTCATATTTAATATGTATTCTCATTAGCTGTGAGAGTTCAGAACAAGAACGGTTTAAGCAAAGCAATGTCCTTGAATAATACAAATGCAAGTTGTGACCCATCAGGAAAGCTGCAGGTCTTACTTCCTGAGGTTGTTGAGGACCATGATGTTTGCGTACATGTGGAAGATGTAGTAACTGTATGGAGGGTTCTCATCTGCAGTCCACTGCTCTGGCTTTGGGCTCCTGAAGGAGAACATGTGATCGCTGTGTTTGGACTCGTCGTCCACACTGTCAAAACCTGACACCTGCACACACAAGCATTATTTACCACTGTGATGGAAGAACTATTTTTTGCATGAACTACAAGGTTAATAAGCACACTAGTTATAGAATTTTACTCCAAATGGTTATGTTTTGTTTAAAGGCTTTATATGCAATCTTTCACACTACAATGTAATATAAATCAAGTATATCCTCTGAAAATAACTCTGTGAGTCATGACTGTCTACAATGGGTGTAACACCCGAGTCCCACTGTCTGTGATGCTTTCCGAGTCCTATCTTCAGTTTGTTTACATCGCCAGGACGGCAGGCCGGCTCATACCCCCGTGTATAAAAGTTGTTTAATTGAGGGACTAGAGAAAAGAAGAATAACAAACTGTACTCACTGCTTAATTGAATGTCACGTAAGCATTTTTAGATCACGGTCATTTCAGGTAAATTTACATTTGCAGTGTGAAGATACAAGCATAATAAATATCGCTAGCATGAATGCTAACACAACAATGCAGCGAGAGTTGTTTTGGTTTCATGCTGGTGCTCAAGGGCAACATCTGGATCAAAAAAATATAAAGCCTTTAAGTAAGATAAAACCTAAAATAATCAATCTTACATATTTTAGGAAGACATGGAGTTCTTTGTGTTTCTGGGGATTAACTGTTGCCTCAAACAGAGGGAGGAAAATGTTCTCCAGCATCTTGGCAAAATTATGAACCAGCTTCTTGGACTTGAAAATATCACTGAAACCCATTAAAAAAATTAGGTTTAAACAAAAATTCTGAGATGTATGATTCTGGAAAATAAAAAAGTGAATAGTTGTTCAATTAGTCAGACTCACTATATTCTGGGCACTTGGATAATCCACCTCATGTTTGGTGAGTGGACTTTCTGATGAATAAACCACTTAGACAGACTGTCCCATTCCTCAGGAGAGCGCCCATAGATGGAGAGACGTGGCTCTGCATGCTGATACTTACTCTCCTCCAGGTCATGGGAAACTTCCTGTAAATGAAAGAAGACGAATGTGGTAAACTGTCCCTGCATCAGCTCTGACTTCAAATGTGAGATTACCTAGTACTCTACCTTTATGATGCTGGCAAAGTACTCTCCATTGATGAGGTTATCTGTCTTCAGGAAGATCTCTCGAAGTTCACTCGCTCCCACTGGGTTATACTTGGAATTAAATTTATCAAACCGGTGGAAGGTTTGTCTCCCCTGTAGAGATTAATCACTGAATGGTCAGTAAGAAGAAATAAAACTGATCGAAATGCTATTTACCTGCACTGGCAGTGAAATGAATTGATGTTAAGGGGCAGAGACAGCAACAGCAATAGAGTATTTTATTACATTACATTACATTAAATGTGGTGGCATTTTCTACTGTACTTACCGCATGCACATCCAGAGAGTCCACGGTGAGGTCATAGGGATCCTTATTGATGCTGTGGAAAACCTGCTGCAGGGTCATCTTTTGTCCCACCTTTTCCAACACCACGCGGTCAGAATCGGTCTCGTATGTTTTCTGGATGAAGGTCAGCAGGTGTTTCTGAGACATGCAGGCTGCTGCATGAATGTGTGTGTCCACCTGAGGGGAAGAAACAATGCCTATGTAACATAGACTAGACAACTGAGTGTTAAAACACACACACCTAGTTTTTCTATATCTTAATTTTGTGAAAAAGTATTCAACTTAATGGAGAAAAATTTTAAATTAAAAATTAATTGAAGGGCTTTAAATAGGCACCATTTTTGATATCTGACCTTTCTAACATTGTAGAAATCTCTGTGAGGCACACTCTTCAGCTCCTTTAGCTCAGCCATCTCATTTAGCATCTCATGGAGGTAGAACTTTGAACTTAAGAAGTTTAGTCGTCTATGACAGTAGGTCTTCCTGAAGAATCAGAGTGTAATTAGATGCCACGCAATAGGCATGAACTGGATTGAAAGGGAAGCATTGTTTATTCAACCATCATATCTGTGTAGTGCTCTTTTGTTTTGGCAACTTACGTGGGTCCGTCTGCGATCATTGACAGCACGTGACTAAGGTCTATAGCAAAGGTCTCCAGGTCTGGGTAAGGAAGGTCATGTGGTTTGTTTTCTTCCAGAGCCTCAACACTTTCATACACGCACACTATCCCGTCCTTCATCTTCAGCTCGTAGTTCAGGTTCTCAGGGATGTTCTCCATGCTGTAGGGATCCTCTCCATGTTTTGGATGAGGGCACATATCTTTAGGACAAAACAGTGTTCTTGTTACTACAATATGAACCAGAATAAACAGAAAGAGTGTGCAGCTCTTATAATAGTACAATGCAAACCTGGCATAACCTCATCATCTTCGCTCCATCTCGTGTTCACGGCACTGCGCAGGAACTGAGCCGTCGTTCTGCAGAATCTGTGATAGGCTAGCTTTGAGTATTTCTCCCGAATAAGTAGAGCTTTAAACAGACTTTTGGCTGCCTGCTCATAGTCCTCCACTGTGATCTGAATGGAGAATGGACATGACATTAAAACAATATTCTTTTAATGTGAAAATTATACAACTGGTACAGTAACATACACAAAAGGCAAAGCTCTGAGATAATTTATTTTCTCTGCCCGTGATGAACACTTGGTCAGGCTTTAGTTCAGTAATAAAGTGTGCTTTGCAGCCCCCTATTGGGTCCTCGAGGTACTGTTGGTGGGCCTCAACAAGTCAGTTACAAAAAATAGTTTCAGGTTTTGATTTTACAATATTCAATAAGCACATGTTTCCTTGTGTACACAATTGTTTATATTATAACCATAATACAAGAAATACATTCACATGCATTTATATATAATTTGTGATCAACACTAATATGCAAAATCAAATAAAAATGTGATGATTTTATTTGTTTATTATAAATGATGTCCAGCGGCCCACCATCAGGCCGCGACTCTTGAGATTTCAGATCAGTCTGTTGCATTCTGATGGTTGTAATGAGTTTGTTGTACTTACTCCAGCACAGTAGTCACCACTGATCGTGACTCTCTGGTAATCAGGACAGTTTTCTGGCAATGAGGAACAAGTGGAGCTGGGGGACATAAATGGCGTCACTGACCGCGTCCAGTCGGTATTCACTGGGATCTGCAGGTACATTGACTGCGATCGAATCATCTTCAAGCTTTTCCTTCTGCAAGATTTGCAATAAGATTAGTATGTGCACACACACCTTTCCCGCAAGTCCAAAAACAATCATTTTTAAAGGTCGTGAGGAGGGCATACCTCTTGGTGCTCTCCTCTGACTGCTGCTCTGCCAGCTCCTTGAGCAGTTCATGATCCTTTTCTTGTTGGAGGCCGATCGGGCAGTCCTCTGGCACTGTGAACATCGACAAGGCATCCTTGTTGTCTTCTTCTTTAAGCGCTGATGCATATACTTTCTCTGCTTGAAGCTGTGTCTCCTTCTCCTTCTCACTCAGAGTAACTTTTGGGAATTGCCGAGGCATGTCTGCAGGACGGTAGAAGAAATAGGGCTGGTGGCAGTGAATGTAATCAAAGCATAGAGAGAGGCTCCGTCTTATGAGAACTCTGCTTGTTTTGACCAGTTTGTGCTGTTTGGTAAACACGCTTGTCTGTGTGAGGGTTGGTTTTGGGACATTCAAGAACAGCTGCACAGTAATCACCGCCCGCAGAGCACTGTGTGAAGTGTTCCCTTTGGCTCAAAAATACGTTCAAATGCTTTAGCTGCTCTTGTCTTGCAAGATCACATTTATATGTGTTGTCACAAACTTGAGATTTTCAGGGTGGCATTGTAATGTAACCATGTTACATCAGTCTAAACCAGTTAGCATCCCTTCACAACCCATCTTACTGTGTATATCCATATTTAAAATATTAGCTTTGTTAATGTCCATATTTATCTTTTATTTCATCATCATTTCCTGTTTACTGCATTTCTTTTTACATTATTATTATTAACAAATTAGTTCTAAAACCAAAAGTTGAATTATTATCAGCTTGTGCCAGCAGTGCCATAGACACTAACATGTAAACTATAATGTGTGTTATTTATTTACCACCGTATTTTTATCTGTATTCATGACACCTTTAGAGGTGAAAATTCTTTCAAACTGATTTAGAAACACAATCTTTTTAGAACAGATTAAATCTGGATGTGCTACATCTGTTTACAGTCACTCCCCTTGTTAAAGTACAGGAGCTATGTTTGTGTCTGCTGGTAGATAACCTGGCTGAACTAACAGTGTCCTGTTGATATCTGTAGAAGTAAAGAGTCTGCTTATCAGGGTACTACAGCAATAACAGAGAAAGGCCATGATGCCTAATGTGATACAGTTTTAGCCACTTTTAAACCCTGCCAGGGTGCTTCAAGGAATATTATCATTCCAGACACACAACACTATCCTGACATCAGCTGTGTGTGTGTATCACTGCTTAAAGGCTCTTAAAGCGGTATTGATCTGAAATAATGGCCTTATTAATTATTTAGTCTAACGCCACCAGTGATTTAATCTCTGACACAAAAACATTCACGTCTAGCTACTGTTTCATACACACAAATAAACGCACATTAAAGGATGGATATGGTTTTTACCTGTAGCTACAGCCTATACAAAACTGGACAGGAAAAGGCTAATAACTAAAAACATCATAATAAAGAGAGGAGACACTCTTGTAAAAACATTTTACGAAAATAACAATAGCCTAAATTTTAAAAAAAAGTACACTAATCATTAAAAAAAAATTAAAACTAACATGAGGATAAAGTCTCACAAATTCTTAAAGTCAGTCCACAGATAACGTTAGCTCTGGTGAATCTAATCAACTTTTATCTGACTTTGATGACTTAAAGCAACACTTTACGAGGCCTCCGTTGTAAAGGAGCACTTAGCAGAAAAGTTATTTCTATCACGTTTTATCTTGTTTTGATGTGCCCTGCATCGTTTACAGCCCGGGCAGAAGGCCCTAACCTGAGACGCTATGTGAGTTGGTCTTGATTAAACATGGACTTTAATATACAAGTTAAAACAAAGAAGATACATTTATGAGCTCAATCGTCAGAATCTGTAGATTAGCCTCGGTGTAGCGAAATCATTTTCATCATTGTCTTTTGGAAGTGTAGCTAATAGATTTTATGACTTTGTTCTATTTTAGGATATTTCATTGAGTTTTATTCATTACACCCTGCTATGAATATTTAGGTCATAGAGTCAGAGAAACCTACAGTGGACTAACATTGATGCTGAGCCTCTCACACTCCTTTGAGTTGTCTGTTTGAAACAGTGAAGTAGAAAATAGCCTATAAGTAACATGATTCCACAGACATTTTGACGATTATTGTTATATCAATGCCTCTCATCAGTTCTGCTCTTACCTTCAGTGCTGCTCATATCCAGGGTAGTTGTAAGGTTCATTGCTAACTTCTGTCTGAATGTTTGGTCAGTCTCAGGCAGGCTATGATTTGAGGATGACACACACCTACAGTGTTGTTTCTCCGACTGCCTATCTCTCTACTTTCAGGGGGGCAGTGTCATCATGTTGACAGAGCTTCTAATCCTGACAATATGTCAAAACTGACTGTCAACAAAGAGAAGGCCACACTCACAAGCAGGCCTATAATATGCTGTCTAGTATTTATATCTCTCTCTGTCTGTGTGTCCTTCTCAGACACAAACACTCAAGCACTTTGTGGCTTACTCTTGCACTCACATTGAGTGCAAGCATGGAGAGGGAGTGAGGAAGAGAGACTCCTGACAGTGATTTTGTGGCTAAACAGAATCACAACCAGATAGATGCCTTTTCAGTCTGAAAGTCACAAGCTGCTCAGATCATATTATTTAATACCACAAGCAGGCAGGGGAGTCTGGCAACAATTCAAGCGTTTCACTAATTAGTAATATTTATATCTGTGTTCACGCGCGCACACGTGCGCACACACACGCAATCAAGATGTTTTTCCTGGAGAAGTAAGACACTCTCAGATCCCTACGCAGAATTCTGTCTGACCAATTTTTCTGTATGTCAAAAGGCAGCATGATGCATTTGTATATATCTGTCACTGATATTTAAAACCAAGCAAGCAGGCTGATCCTTAATCTCAATGGTGAGAACACGCTTCTAGCAGTCACTAATTATGTAAGATAAAAATAACTACAGGTACAGAATATAGTTTTGGTGCTGTTTAACCAGCATATCAAATAATAATAGTAACTCTGCTTACCTGCTCTCACAGTGGCCCTGGACCAGTGGGTGCTGGGTAGACAAAATAATGAGTGCTTGCTGATGTTACTTTTCAGCAATTTCCCTGAAACGATGAATTTGTTGACCCAAATGTGTTTTTTTTTTATCTGAAGAATCTGCAGAATGTTATGAGCACTGTTTTTATTCAACTTCTTCATCATAGTTACTCGCACAAATATGTGGGAACAACTAACCTTGTGGATGTGGTGCATCATGTGATACATAGGTTCCAGAAGAAAGAGGCAAATTGGAGAGTCTATAGAGAGAATACACCCACTACATCTTTAAGTGTTTTAATTCCCCAGAGAGGTAAAGTACAAGTCATTGATTTTTATTTTATAGTTTTAAACAAATGTAATTGTTTACTTCCTCCATGTAGATTATTGCACAATTAACTTCTAAGAAATGAATCATTTGATGGTCATGATACTGACTCCAAAGTTTTTACTTTAGAGCAATTCAAGGGGCCCACTATAACCCCCCAGAGAAAATCCCTAAATTTTTTTTTTTCTTTCATTTATTTTAACATAAAAAGGAACCCCCAACTCAGCAATCCAAAAACACAGAAAAATGATACCGAGCATGAATATTTAACTGAGCATCACTGGAGCCTATTTCTTATTGATCCGACTGCCTTTTGTAGGAAACAACAGATTAGATGGCTGCTGTATCTCTCCAGAAAGCGCCATTAGAGACTAATGTGTAGATAATCTTAATGGTGCTCACTCTGGACTGTACTGATGTAGATGTGTGTGCCTTCTTAAATGTACTTTTAATGTGGGGAAAAATGGGAGTTGACCATTTATCATCTTTACAGTTAATTTTGAGAACAAGATCATAATCGGTTATTTCCTATTCACTGTTTGAAACCCACTGTAAGCGTCCTAAGGCACTTACTCCAGCACTCAGTTATATTCCAGAGCCAGCTCACTACAACCTGCTGTCTCTAGCCTGATATCACACACCTCACAGCTTTTACTGGCTGAGCCCCCAATATGGCTCTCCCTGTCAAAGTCATATCTCAGAGAGAGGTCAACAACATTTGAGAGGGCTATTGAATATATGGAAAGGGAGAGGGATGGAGAAAAAAGCTCACTCTTTGCCAAGCAAGGACCTGAATGCTGCTTTTTAAGAGGTGAGTCTCCTCTGCTCATCTTTCCCATCAGCCCGGGGCCTTGAGAGAGGGAGCGATAAAATAGTCACACATCAGTGCAAAACGTCCTCCTTCAGCTACTCTCTCATGCCTGTCAGATAAATCTGGATTGGTTTTTTAAGGGTCTGGTTGAATTGGTTTGAATATGAGTCACTTAAACCAGTTGCACCTCTGAAACAATATAACAGTATACACCAAGAATTATCGAATACATCAAACAAGTTCACTCACCTCCCCAGCCTCGCTCGTCTCTGAAGAGTATATAAACTGCACAAGTTCCCTCAGAGAAACATCCAAGTCATGCTGTGCTCCTGTTGTGGCTATAGAGTGTATGATATCACATCCACCACCCTGCAGTGCACAACTCTCCATCCTTAACTCTTTCACTGCTGCAGCATTGTACAAGGACATCAGCTGAACGAAGGCTGAGGCCAGCTTGACATGATGGTCATTCGATTGTTAAACTACTTTTCAGGCAGCAGTAAATGTACAAGATTGTGTCACTATGACATTTTCATTGTTTTTCCTGATATCTGTCTTCTGCTGCAGAGACAAACAGTGTCCTCTTGTGGATGTTTTGCTAACATGCAAGGCATGAGCGGACTAGCAAGTGCTACCAGCAAAGTAAGGGTGCCTTTTTGATCCATTGGTGATTTAACAGTGATATAACATGGTTCACCAACAGACTATTTTCAAAGCTTTAAAACCCTGATCTCTTTCCTGTATCTTTAATGCAGTTACTCAAACAAGATAAAATCCCAGAACATTCACATAGGTTGACGTTATCAGTGTGCGTCATGAAAGTAAGTCTCTATATTTGAAACCATCATATTCATGTCACAAGAATCCTCAAATTCAAACTGCCTGTCACACATTTACTATTGATCTGTTGAGAAAGCTCCACTGCCAGATCTGAGTACTTCCTCTTACACCTTTCCAGAGTGGAGTAAGCACTGGCATGAATGAACTGAACTCTATACACAGTGTTAGAGAAGGACCCAGATTTACTGCTGGGACCATAAGCAGCCAGGGCCCCACACTCCCTGATTTAGCCTCAAGGTGTTTGAGATTATGAGGCTAATCCTCTCAGCTAAGTCAATCAGTGTACTTTTAGAGTCGGCTGCTGAGGACTGATTCCCAGCCCTGGGCCTGTATCATTTTAATTGACAGAGGTATTGCAAGATTGATAATTCATCTGCCTTCTGCCCCTTTCCTCTACTCATCTGCTGCACTCTTAAATAGCAAGGAGTGTATTAAAGTTAAAAAATCTAAATTAGTGGTTCTCAACTGGTCGAGCCTCAGGACCCAACTACTCCTTCATGAAAAATCGTTACCCACATTTGTCATATTTTTCAATCAATCAGATTTATTTAGAGACAAATTGTGCAGTTTGGACCTCAGACGGTACAAAGCGTGATAGAACAAATCACTGAATGAAACAAATGTAAAAAAATTAATAAAAGTGCCTCATAGACTTTTTGACAGCATTCTTCTTCCAGGCTAACACCTTTGGCTTCCGACCCACCAGTTGAGAACCACTGACCTAAATAATAAATTCTGATAATAATGCACTGTCCAGTGGTTGTCTCAGTTAAATTCTGGCTGTAAAGTTAAAATAAGGTCCATAACGTGGCTGATATAATTTTTAGAAATAATACTTTCTTAAAGCTTTCTGAGAACAGCAATACATCAAAAAAAAATTGAGCTTATTATACTCTAAGACCTGGAGGAAGTGAGTATATCTGTTGACCTACACTGATCAACTTGCTTGATGCCAGCATCACGTCAGTGGCGTCAGCAGCTGATTGGCTTAATGCTGGAGGGACATCCTCACAAAGCAAGAGTACACTTAGTGGACCAGATCTAGATCCATTCACTCTATTCTTAGGTTGCTTTTGCTGTGCTGAGAAACAGAACAGATTGTTGTAACTTTTTTAAATTATTATTTGTGTGTCCTTAATATTAATTTAATTCTAAAGATTCTAAATTGAATTAAAATGAATCCGCCACTAGATGGTATTTTAATTTGCTTAGTATCTTTACAATTTATGTTTATGGTCTTAACCCATTCAGTTAATTGTGGGTCAGGTCTGTTATTATTGACATGTGTCTGCTTTGGTGCAATTTTCCCATTTGTTTCAGTTATAAGCAATACTTCAGGAAGAAAAATATAGAAATGAAAGTCAAGGACTATAAAACCTGCTGCATTCCAAATTTTAATTGTGTCATTATTTGCTTGTAGTATAAATACCTCCATGCAAGAGAAGAGCATCTGTTTTTATGTGATTAGAGTTACGCTGACATCTTTGAAAGTTGAAATTTCAAATTTCTCATCTTTTACTGTTCATACTTCTTGTTGTTAAATTTGTGGCTTTACCTCTTCAATCTCACTAGATGGCAACAAAGAACAAACAATCACAGAGTTGACCCCACTCTATGTCTGGATAAACTATTTATGTACATTCTGCAAAGTTTTAACAGCTGTAATCAGCCTTTTCTAGTTACATTAAAAAGGCTGAAACATTTTGCAGACAATTTTTCTATTTCCCTGTATTGTAATAATGTGGCTTTGGGACAACCTGAAGTGTTTCAAAACGAAAGCCTTTTTTTTTTTGTTATTGTCAATTCAGCATTTATTATTCATTTCCTGTATGAATTGATAAAAATAAAAACTCCAGCTAGCACTTACTGGAAAATAAGGACAGGCAGTATCGAACATGTGGCACTACACATGAAACCCTATGGATTCAGTCAGTTTAACTTTATGACATTCAGTGATTTCCTGACTGTATTGCTGAACATCTGTATTTGTGAAAAAGCTTATATGCACTTTGCACTTTAGCTTTGTGGAAAGTTGTCACACTCTGCTTTATGCTCAGTTTGAACTCGTAGTTCTATCAATCGATGTCATTTTCATATTGCACATTTGGACAGTTTTACCTTTCACATTTATAGATTGATTAATCAAAAAGGGAAGGGAGAAACTGCTAAAAGAGACATCTTTATTCTATACTTGGTTTAGGCTGTACTCCCTAAGATGTAAAAGAAGGAGTGCTAATGTGTGAAGTGAAGCAGGCTGCAGCCTTTCAGTGTTGATCAGTCCCAGAGGTCTGCCTGAATGTGAAGGTCATTATCAGGGCCTCGATGGATCTGGTTTTGTGATGCTCTCGCAGGAATGTTCCGCCTGAACCCCCTGCATAGGCCCTTCTCGTGTCCCAACCGTCTAGCATTAAACACAGATGGAAGTAAAGCCTCAGCCTCCTCTGATGGCTTAAGGGCTACTCTGTGGTGTGGGCTGAGCCAACAAATATAAGCTGAACCAAGTAGGAATGCGCCTGGCACCCTGTCTGCCCTTTTTTTTGGGGGGGGGGCATCATAACTTTGGGAATGTAGTGAGAGAAGGGGGGGGGGGGGCTCTAATGAGACCCTGTAATCACTTAACAGAGACCAGGTGCTGTGTGTCTTGTTGCAGCGAAGCGCTCCAGACAATAGAACGCCACATTCAATTTACAAGTGCCAGGAGTGAAGGAGGTCTGGACAAGGTCTTGATTTTGTATGCAAAATGTTTATTGGAAGACAATGTTATTTCTTTGACACAAATAAAATAGAGCACATTTAAAAAATATATAATATACCTATAAAACAGATATCCTATGACCACACTTTGCAAAAGACAAATGACAAATAGCTACAATGCCCATATATATTTCTTCCTGTACAAAAATAGTTCTATCTGCATAAGCACTTTAATGTTACTTTTATATAATATTTAAATTAAGGAATTCATATATACATATACCTGTAATAAAAACAAATATAGATTGCACTTGTGTTTGTACAAACAATAACAATTTCAAGTATATTTCAATCCATTGTGGACTGGCACATATCTCACAGAATCAAAGGCATTTTCCCTTATACAGTGTCCAAAACTTTATAGAAACTCTGTAGCCCGTGCTCCTGTTGGCATTTGGATGACATTTTCTTTTCCTGCTGTTTCATTTAACTTTAAGTCCACATGGAAAAGTGCATACACGTACTGACAGTTTTGGAGCATGGCAGTGTAATTCTTGAAGGAAGCACTTTTTTAAAGTTCTTGAGGAAGAAATGTGTTAGGTCCCAGAATGTAAGAAGACAGTTCCTTCTTTAAGCCAGAAGAGTGTGTCCACTGGGCCGGGTATCACCACCCTGCTTCTCTCCCAGAGAACAACACCTGCGCTTTGCTCCAAGCAGTGCCATCCAGTGTCTGTAAGCTGGCTGCTGGTTTCTCTCCATCTCTGAGCGGCAGCCTCTACAGAAACTCAGTGCAGCTGGTCTTGCTCTGACTCAGTCCTCCTGCCTGGAAAAAGACATGCTGGAGAAAACTTGGCAAGAGTCTGAGGCATTTGGAGAATCTTTTAGAACAGTGCAGAGAGGACATTAACTCCCTCGCTTTTGTTCCCAACTCCTGTTAAACAAAGTCCAGCTCATGTCCGTCTGAGGAGAGCCTCCAGCTTGTGAACTTGTGAGGCAGTTATGGTCCAAGCGGGCCTGAGCCTGCCCTGCTCCAGCCTGAGTGTGACTCTGTGTGGGGGGAGAGATCGACGCCTCCGGCCGTATCCCTGCGCACTGATTTTGTCACGGGGGCTCTCGATCTTCAGGTTGTTGTTGAGCTGATGCAAGCGGTGTGCCAGGTCGTGCACCGCGCAAGTCCCCAGTGAGCAGCCTGGTCTCTTGGACTGGTTGACTGAGTTTTTTGACCTCTTGGTTCGGACATTGATGTCAGTGCTGGAGAACAGAAAGAGAGACAGGGGAAATTAATTCATGTACAGTAGTGAATTGTTGAGTTATTCCTTTTCTATGACAGTCAAAATTTATGAAAAATATCAAAAAGGACAAGATGAAGAGAGTTTGTACATTTACAGGACTGCATGATAAGTCTCTTACCTGGAATGTGGCAGCATTGTATCCCTGATATCTTCTGGTCTGACAAAGTGCTCAGACTCTTCTGTCTTCTCTACTGATATGCTGTCAAGATCCCGTCTAAATCTGCTCCCGAGCCATATGCTGAGTCTGGGAGAGGAGGGGAAAAAAAAGGTCATTAGTCTTTGGAAGATAATTCTGTAGACAGGTGTCTACTGTCAAAGGATTGACAGACCTTCACATTACAAATATTTCAGATATTGAATGAAGAACTCACCTTTTTTTGGACTCTGGATTCACTTCAAGTTCCAAGCAGTGTCCTACTGTTACCATCAGACAGCAATAAAGGAAGGACTGGAAGATCAGCTTCATTTTGACTCCTGTGGAGAGTAGACAAAACATTTATTTAGTAATTATTTCATGCTGTAAAGTCATGTTTCACTGTGAGAATGCATTTGAAACTTCCTCCGCATTGGTGCTTGCTCACACTGGAGTCCAAAAGCCAAGTTATTTGCACTTATCATTCATTTATTTAAAAAGTTAAGCTAAGGTCAGATTTTGCACGGTTAAGTAAACCAACAACCATGCTTTGGGCCCCTGGCCAATAATGAGAAGGACAGTCTACCAATGAGAGAGTCCAAAATAGGCTCGGCTCAAAAGTCAAACAAGACTTAAAATGCTATCTCACTCTGCTGCCTAAACAGAAAAAAAAAAAAACATAGGTAGATGAATTGCATCTTAAAAAACTATCAGTGATGTGCTGCCTCTGTCAGATGCTTAATACCTTGAAGGCAATTCCTGAACAGAGGCACACGTTAAGAGCTGAACTGCTTATATAACCAGACAGATAACCTGTCCTTGCCTCTACACTTGTGCCCTGACCTCGAAAAAAAAGCAAGAATAAAGCCATCAGCAGAGAGCAGAGCAAAGATCTATTTTTAAATGAAATGCACATACCTGTATTGATTTTTTTAATTCAGCTGGATAAGAAAGCTCCTCTTGTAGTTCGTAAAGAGTACTCCACAGGTTTCTTGAAATTGCCACTGGTTCTCTGTCAGGCAGCTGTGTAACTCTGCTAATAGCTCGTACACACCAGACAGGCCGCCTTTATACAGGAGGTGGGAGGGGCTCTCATTGACTGACACACACAGGCTCTCATCCTTTCCCCCACCCTATCCAGTACAGAGCTGCTGTGCTGCTGCTTGTGGAGTACAGAAACGAAACTGTGTGAAAAGATTAAGAATTCAGATTAATAAACCTTAAAGGAAAAGGGAAAGTTGTTTTAGGCTAACTGAATAAGTAAAGTGTACTGAGTGTATCCTGTCTGTTTTTTCTCTTGTATTAACTCTTAAATTAAGTATTTCCCAGCTCTTTATGAATGATGCAACATCAAAGTTTCATAAAGAGACTGTTTTTATTTTATTTTAGAATATGTATTTAATCCAAAAACAATCAATGTACATTAGTTATATAAGCCCCAGTAAGAGTACAGTCTGTTCCCCTTAGCTGGTAGGGGGTATAAGAAGTCTCAGTCGTCACAGCAGAAATGGTTTAAACATTCATCTTGTTATATTTGAACTTAAAGGTCAGTGAGATATGTTTTTTGTTGACCTTCCCTTCAGACCAACTTGTTAATTGTAAAATAATAAATGATGGGGAATGTGTCCACAGTCGCTTTTCAGGGCACTCCCTGGCTCAGTGAAGTTCCATGTCAGCTTCAAGTACGCTGCATGATGAATTTCAGATGAGGAATTTGAGACAAGAATTGGGTAACTGATTAAATACAGTTTCCCAATCTGTAAACACAATGAACTCAAAGTGTTTGTTTGTTCAAGGCAAATATTTGACCAACCATGTCATTTGTTTTGATACTTGGATTAATGTGAGATGGAATTTTACAATTATCTAAAAATAAATCCAGAGTCTGAAAAACTGTACTTGAACAACAATCTATGACGAAGTAACAATATTAGCTTAGATTTTTCTCAAAATACTTCTAATTATTATTTCATTTTTGCGTGGATTATAAGAAATCTGACATCATTTTGGCCTCAGGAATGTATACACAGGAGTCGGCTTTATTAGGAGATAATGGGAGCCATCGTGTCTGCTGGGGAGGATACCACTGCTCACATTATGGGTCTACATTGGGTTCACTATACAGTGAGTTACTTTTTACCTGCATTCATCTCCTTCAGCATCATATGTCCACTTCTGTGTTAAATAAGTGAAGCAACATAGTTAGAAAGATGAGGGGCTCATGTGCCCCTAGGGGAAACCCAGGAATCCCTTCAGAAATAATGTGTATGTTAGGTCACTTTTGTACATGTTTTGAACCACAGCTAGCTGTTACGTATGTCTCTGTGAAATGAGCATACTGTTGCATGTGTGGGGGGTAATCTTAACCTTAAAAACCGTTTGTGTGAAAAGACTGAAATCATACCCCATATATTAAAATACGAAATGCTGTAAAAACCAGAGAGAACCCATTTGGTTTTAACAGCATAGAAATTCCAGTGCAGAAATTTCCCAAAATGTGTTACTATCAATGAGTTCGATAGAGGGCGTCTAAAATTGCTTTCAGTTTTGATTTCCATTCCAATTTTGTTAAAAGGGAAACAGTCTCTTGGGTCTTATAAACATAGTTTTGGGCAAGGTTCACATATGACATTCCAGTCTAGCATATCAGCCTATAATTCATACCTTATTGCACTTGAGTCCCTTACAAAGAGTTTATTTTTATCTCATGTGACCTCGTTGCACACATTGTGTCATATTTAAAAACTCCCCCCTGAAATATACATAAATGTCGAACACATGTGCTACAAACCAGCAAACGTTCGGTAAGCACTTTGTAATGATAATTGCCTCCGGCAGACAAGTAATGTCCTTAGCAGAGTTTACAACAGGAGATTGTGCAATCAGGACAACACAATTCTGCTGTTGCTTTTTGGCTCCTTATATAGAAATATTTTGCTCGTCCATGGACTTCCTGTCATAGGTTGAATGACATTTTTTGTGTGACCTTACAGTACAGGTTACATTTGAGCAGGTATGTGTGGCAGGAAACCTGAGCAGCCAGCGTCACATTTGCCAGGAAAAATATGGTGTCAACCCCAGAGGCACAAATTTGAAATATGATTCATAATAATTATGTTGCCATGTTTTACCTGGAGATAATTGTCACCTGGAAATGTGTTTTGTTTGAGGTCTCATGATTTCCAATCATTCTTGTGTAATAACAAACACTTTATTCCTTCATGGTTTGGCACAAGTTCAACTATTTTACTACCTCTGGCTTCATCCTCCTTTTACAAGCAAACAAAGACAGATAGAAGCGCGGGGGAGAGAGAGAGAGAGAGAGAGAGAGAGAGAGAGAGAGAGAGAGAGCAAAAGGGAGATTAAGATTGAGGAGGAATTGCTTACTGTGTTCCTGCTATTGTCGACAGTCACTGTGGTGTTTGCATTCCTCTCACACACATAACCTGTCATGCTGTTTTCAATGTATCACTCCCTTTGATAACTTCTCCTGTTTTCATGTTCAATATTTTGCATTAACCACCTGCTTTTGCCCTGTCCCTCAAACCACTGGCGGAGTTCCGATGTTTGAGGGGTGAAAATAATAAAAAGGGCACCTGCTCTATGCGGTGGGCTACCAGTGCACAAAACGTCGTCATACATTTATAGTGAAATTGTTTTGTCCACTTGAAGGGCACCCTGGAGGACACTTCATCATGTTTAATCTAAAACATGGGCAACCAAGACAGAACTTTAGCTGTGTTTTTTTTTCTTTCAAACATTAGGGCACAAGTGAGTCCACAATTTCCTTAAATGGTATGTCGAAACACAATCACTTTAAGCTTAAAAGATGAACTTAAAAACAAAAACAAAACTGTTACAGCTTTAAAAATTCCCTGTTTAATCACAAATTGCAAAAAATAGAAGCAATTAATGAAACTGGATCGAACACAAATGTGTGAGTCCATGGGATAACCCCTTTGTCATTTTAGTGTTGCAACACAGCAGATTTTTCATGTTAAGAGGAGGTACAGTATGTGCTGTGTGGTCTAAGTACTATGCAAGTGTTTGCTGAAGTCAAGGGCTTTTTATAAAACATGTGGGCTAATAGTAATCCTCACATGAAGTTTTCCAGACACAATCTACATTCTCATACTTTTATAAAGCCTATTTGTATTTAGCCCTATGAAGTTTTGATAAAATAACACATTCATCTGTTGTCATTCAATGTATTATCTGCAATTTTTCTAGATTTACTGTTCTTTGGGGATCTTTTTAAAATCAGTTTTATAGGCTCTTTACATCATTTAAAAAAAGCTTTGGGAATAGGCTAGTAATTTCCCTTTTATTACGTTATTGACAACCAGGTTTATAATCATGTTTCCCCTGTGATCAACTCTATATTTGCCTAAAGGTACTGTCAAGTATCAAACTATACTGATGCTGTGTTTGTCTTTGATATAAATAGGAAAGTGACCCCCCCCTTTAAACCCTAAAAGAGTCTCTGTGGGGGGGACACAGTGCTGTGTTTGTAAACTCTAGGGCCCACGCCCATGGATGTCTCCCTCTCCTGCACGCAGGCGCAGTGCCACTCCTTCTGTCAAACATGGCTGTGCTTTGGAAGCAGGAAAAATGCTGAATTGTGTTGGTATATCTCGGGAAAAACAGCAGATATGGCTAGGTTGGCTGACTATTTTACTGTGGTGGGATACGACCAGGAGAAAGCCGGTAAGTTTGGCGGTAGATTGAGCTGTGAAGCTGAGGTTTGTGTGCAGGCCGTCAGTCTTGTGTGATGATGTTGATGCTAGATAGCTTTGCGCCTAGCCTAATGTTAGCCACACAGCTACAAAGGGAGACTTAAAATACTGTCTTTATTCCTCTAAACCCGCCAGGCACTGGATATATCCGACTGGTGCGTCTTCAGAGATCAAGCACAGGCCTTTTGGCAGGTCACCAGTGGATATTTACACTCAAAGCGTTGGGATAATTGACTAGGATCAATCGAAACTTTTCATGGATTCAAAATCTGTCACATCCTGTCCCTGTCAGGGGGGGGGGGCTGCTTTCACTGCCTCTGCTAATGGGACTGTCGCTGAATGACGCTTACAAATCAACATGTGATACCGTGTATTGCCCCAGCAAGTATCATTTTGCTGACAGTGTCGGTCATGGTTTGGTTGTTTTAGTATCCACAGTGTTGCATCTTGTGTTTCGGTGTTTTTTTGCAGCGTTATTTGTTTTGCGGTGTTCTCGCCTCATGCCAGTGCTGTACGCTGTGTTTCTGGTCTATTTTTTATTTTTTATTTTTTATTTGTTATCCTCCACAGCTTGTCAGTGGTTTGTTGTGTTTTATGTTTGTTTGTTTTTTCCACCGGAAGAGAGCTCAACTTATTCATCGTGTGCGTAACGTTATACAGCTGCGAGGGAAAGGCAGTCCTTGTGCTCAGCCCGATGATCCTCTTCCCTCTCCGCCCTCTCTCTCTCTCTCTCTCTCTCTCTCTCTCTCTCTCTCTCTCTCTCTCTCTCTCTCTCTCTCTCCACTGTCGCTCTGCGGAGGCATGTGGAGCCCCCATAGTTCAACTTCCACCCCCCCCCCCTGAAGTCCAGCCTCACATTCTTGTCATCCATGATAGAAGTCAGCTCTGTACACATTTCTAAGTATTAGTAGAAAAAAAAGATAACAAAATGAAAGTTACCAAACTTCCCAAATGCTTCCCAAGTACTTTCTTTGTCCAGTCAACACATCAAACTGTAATATAATGGTATCTCATAACTTGAAGTGTTTCTCGGTATTCAGCCTGGAGAAAGTAAAACTATTCAGTTCTTTAGCCTCTGTCAGTGGCATCCATCCAGCGTCAAAGACGGTCCAAAGCAGCTGAATCCTCTTAGTCACCAGAGCTTGCTTGCTGTGTACAATAGGTAAACGGTGTCTGTCATCAGCTCTGTGCATCCCAGCACCAATTGACAAATGATTTTTTTTTTTTGTGCTCCAGGGACAAAATGTTCCTGGCATCACCAGAAAAGTCTGCATAGATTCACATTAAGAT